TAGGTCTGTGGTGTGACAGGGCTGAAAGAAAGCAAGACTCATTGAGCTCTGTACTGGCAACAGAAGTCAGCTCATTCATGAATAATTGATTTAGGAATTGACATCTGCCTCTTCTGTTCTCAGAAACTCCACTCTCATGTACACAGATTAACAGAAACAAAAGCTTCTGTGGCACTTAATGACTTCAAAATGAATGAAGTAGCTATTCTATATATGTGACTGTAGTGCTAAGACCTATACTTTTTCTTGGAGAAATAGCTGAGTATTGCAGATTGCTCCACTGATAGAGGATTTATGCATGTGTCTCTGGAGTTGATCGGTGGTATTTATACAACTTTGGTAGAAATAATGAAGCACCACTTACATAAAGAGATACCCTTTTATAGTACCAATAAAATAAAACTAGGTTTCATTGTTCTATAAGTTTCACTGGAACTATGTATTTTAGAGATTTCCAAATAGCTCCTGAAAAAAATTAGCTTTGAAATAAGGTGATGCTTGTAGATGCATTTAAGCACAACTTTTCTTCCGCTTTCCATTTCTTTCTAGTATGGCTTGACAGCAAGTTCTTCAGTATGGCTAGATTAGAGGAATATTTTTCCTCACATGTTCTCCAGAAAGCCTACAACAAAAGTGAGATTGGAGATTTGCATTTCCATTAAATTGTGTGAGGGGGGTTGGAAAGTTTTCCTTTCTAGCCAGTGGAAACAAGACTGATTGTTCCAAGCTACAAGGGGAAATTTGACATTTCTTAGTCATGTGTCTATAAAAGAAAAGTTTCAATGTCTTTTTAAAACTTACAATGTTTTATTTGCATTTTATCACCTCAATATGTAAGAGTGATTTTGGAGTTGTTTTCCTCGTCAGAAAAGTGCATCCTGTTCCTAGCACAAAGGTAGAGCCAGTACTGTTTCATACTTGAGGCAGCTGAACAGGAAGCTAGTGATGATGATGGTTTAAATCAGCAAACTAGGGAAGAGAATGGTTTAAGTGAATGTTAGGTATGATCTTTCCTACTTTTAACTGGAGAAATTTACAGTTCAAGTACTACTATTTAGGACAAAGAAGAGACTCAGGCTCTCCTTTGTCTTTGACTTCCAGCAACATAGGCTTAAGATATAAAAGCTTGGGGAATAATCAAAGATACATTATCAGATGCATTGTTGGTATTCCTCGTTGTAAGAAACAGCATTTGTGTGGTTACTGAACCCCAATAATAGGCACCTTTAAATGAGAAATAATTACCAAGTAATTATTCTACGTCACGCAAGCATTTTTATTTTACTTAAATGCACTCAGAACAATGTATCTGCTTGTACAGGTGAAAGCTACTATGATTTCATGTTCAAACGGTCACTGTATTAGTGTATCTGTATAATATTTTCAATCTGTAAACAGTTGCTTACCCCTGTCATAAGACAGAAAACCACAGAACTAGTTAACTGGCTCATAGTTTTTATTTAGGCCATAACCATAAACTGCTGTTTATGTTGAAAATCAGTTTTATATGTCTGCAGTATAAAGAGTTTTGAAATACTAGCCACAAATATCACCAAGTATTGGTTTTATTGTTAATATTAGTTTTGTGTATTTTGTGTAAGTACTTGCTTGCGAAAAGCCAGTTTACTAGCAAAGGAATTGGTATTTTTCTCGACTGTGAAGCATATTGTGACTAATAAGGAATCTGACATTTAAAAGTTTACTAACTAATAAGCCATGGCCATGCAGGTTTTGAATGATAAATTTTCACTTGCTTTTGGGTTTATAGCATGCCTTTGAGAAGAAATCAGGATTAAAATGTTACACAAAATGTAAGGTTTAAGTTACCTCTTGTAACATTGGACAACTGTGTCTTATCTATTAGCACAACGTAATTTCGGAAAGTAATTTATCAGCTGTCACCCAAATGGAAATAATATTTGTCAGGGGATGGAATAAAGTGTTCTGCAAAAAATTCATGAAGAAAACCGTGGCTAAACAACAGCTTTATAAATAGAAATTTTGATTTTACCAAAGCAGATATTCCAGTTACCTTTTCCAAAGAAGATTCATTATTTTCATTTAAGACTGCTAGCAAGAAAAAAAGCTGCAGTTTTGTCTGTTTGTGATTCTGTATATACCATCCGCAGTTTAGTGTTTAGAACATGGAGCTCTTTCAGTCTGCTCAGATTATAAAGAGAATAGGTTTTGTTAAGAGCAATTAGGTGCTTTTTCATTTTTCCCATGTGTGTTAGGCTTATCTTTCCATTTAGTCTTGGGTGAAACACATTTAAGAATTCTGAAAATTAGTTATAAGTCTAAATATGTGTACAACTTTTGTTCCTAAAGTTTAGCTTACCTTTTTGTGTTTAATAGAGGAACTTGACATATTAGTGTGCAATATGAAACACTTTCAGACTGACACTTTTAGCTGTCAAAACATGTCAATATAAATTATGTTGATCATTGTGAATTTCTGGTCATTGTGAAATCTTGACATAATGTTAAGTCTGTTGTAATCACTTTGTAGGAACTGTATGCAGGGGCATTTTGAAGGGTAAAATGGACCTACAGATAGTAAGTGTATTTGGAGTGATGTCGAAGATGTCTTTTAGCACCATATCTAGTCTGATTTTTGTCTTTGCTATTTTTGCTGCCATTGTTCAAGGTCCATTGTTCAAACATCTTTTAGAATAACATGTACAGATCACATACAAAAGAATCTCTGGACCTTCTTGTGTCAGATCTTGAAAATGATAGTCGTTTCATGGGACTAAATTCAATAAATAGGCTTTTTAGCCTCCAGTGCTAACAAAAATAAATCAGAGATGTTATGAGGTGTATTTTGTGGGGTTTATGTTACTGCAGGTGTTAATTTTGATGGATGTGTCCTTGTGCTCTGGAATACTTAGTTGGATCAGTGCTGGGACCGATTTTGTCATCTTTGTCAGTGACATGGACAGTGGGATTGAATGCACCCTCAGCAGGTTTTCCGATGACACCAAGCTGTGTGGTTTGGTTGATATGCTGGAGGGAAGGAATGAAATCCAGAGGGACCTTGACACGCTTGTGAGGTGGGCTGATGCCAACCTCATGAAGTTTAACCATGACAAATGCAAGGTCCTACACCTGGGTCAGAGCAATCCCAGGCACAGCTACAGGTTGGGCAGAGAAGAGATTCAGAGCAGCCCTGCGGAGAAAGACTTGGGGCTGTTGGTTGATGAGAAAATGAACATGAGCTGGCAGTGTGTGCTTGCAGCCCAGAAAGCCAACCATATCCTGGGCTGCATCAAAAGGAGTGGGACCAGCAGGTCGAAGGAGGTGATCCTGCCCCTCTACTCTGCTCTCGTGAGACCTCACTTTGAGTATTGTGTGCAGTTCTGGTGTCCTCAACATAAAAAGGACATGGAACTGTTGGAACAAGTCCAGAGAAGGGCCACGAGGATGATCAGGGGACTGGAGCACCTCCCGTATGAAGACAGACTGAGAAAGTTGTGTCTGTTCAGCCTGGAGAAGAGAAGGCTGCGTGGAGACCTCATAGCAGCCTTCCAGTATCTGAAGGGGGCCTATAGGGATGCTGGGGAGGGACTCTTCATTAGGGACTGTAGTGACAGGACAAGGGGTAATGGGTTAAAACTTACGCAGGGGAAGTTTAGTTTGGATATAAGGAGGAAGCTCTTTACTGTAAGGGTGGTGAGGCACTGGAATAGGTTGCCCAGGGAAGTTGTGAATGCTCCATCTGTGGTAGTGTTCAAGGCCAGGTTGGATGAAGCCTTGGGTGATATGGTTTAGTGCGAGGTGTCCCTGCCCATGGCAGGGGGGGCAGGGGGTTGGAACTAGATGATCTTAAGGTCCTTTCCAACCCCAACTATTCTATGATTCTATGAGTCTGTGATCTTGATAGAGTAATTTACAAAGAGCTGGTGATGGTGGATGTTATTGAAAGGATGTTATTTCAAAAACAACAGATAACTAATTAAACTTCTTGTACTACATACAGACAGACGCTCCTCCACATGTCCCATTCCACACTGTTCACCACCACCTCACCTGTATTCCCATTAACACAAGCTATTGCAGCCAGGCCCAGGGCACATCCGTCCCATGGGGCAGTGGTGATGCCCTATGCAGTGACGGGCATGGGGTGGTTTGCAAGGTCACCCCGTAGCAGAGTCAGGGTGAGCCAGAGGGCTGCTCTGTCCTGAGGGGCCTCTATGAGCCACATCCTGCAAAGCCCCACTGCGCAGCACCCTACATCTGTGGTGCTGTCCCGCAGGCAGCTCCCCCTCGCCTCCTGCGGCTGCAGGCCCTGAATCCCATTGAAGGGGTGCAGCAGTGCTGGGTCAACCTCACCAGATTTGCTGTTGAGTAAACAGATTTATCAGTTTGCTCTTTATAATTTGATTTTGAGAATATACCATTTGTGCTATTTTTTTCTCATCTTTAAACAAGTCTTTAGTATTGTTCCTGCAACAAAACAACGCACTAGAAGTTTGATGATGGTCAGACTTGGCAGTTATTTTTCAGTAGAGTATTTGCTTTGTCTTTTCACTTTTGTACATTGTCTTTTCACTTCTGTTTTTTTTCGTCGTGCTGTGAATACAGTAACAGCTATAAAACTGATGTGCTCTTGTTTTATTGGCAGTCTTCTCCCTCCTTTTCAGAACATGTTTTCTTTTGTACATAGGTATTAAGGGAACATGAAATAGCAGCGATACTTCCTGTAATGTCTGTTCAATTTTTTAAGTGGTTGTGGATTAATTTTTATCTTGTTGAGGAAGTTGTAGCAGCTCTCTGGTCACCTGTGATGAGAACCTAACATTATGCAACATTATTTGACTGATATTGCTCACAATTACTGTTCCATCTGCATGTGATTTACCTTCGTGTTCACTTGCAATGTGATACTGCAGTTAAAACCCAACAAATCCCATACCACTGCTGAAACCCAGGATGGCTAAATCACCAGTGAAGCTTTGAAGATGAATGTGTGTAGCTAATTTGTTTTTGTTCTTTTGTAGGTGATGGATGTGGACACACCATCCTGGGCCCCGAAAGTGGAACTCTTGCTTCAATAAACTACCCACAGACCTCTCCCAATAGTACAGTTTGTGAATGGGAAATTCGTGTAAAGCCTGGGCAGCGAGTTCAGCTCAAATTTGGTGATTTTGATATTGATGACTCAGATTCATGTCATTCCAGTTACTTAAGAGTTCACAATGGGATTGGCCCTACCAGGACAGAGATAGGTAGGAGCTTTTATTATTGGTATTTGAAAGCTATAGACTGGTACAGAACTTGGATATACTGTTGGTACTTTTGTTTCTTCTAAAATTTCTCCTGTTTACCTGCTCTGAGCATAGAGTAACTACTGCATGTATAGTTAAGTACTTTTTCATAGCCCTACAAAGCTGTTATCATTCAGTTGGATATTGGGCAGGGTAAGATCTTGCCTGAATATATCATACACTGCTTTGTACAGTGTGAATTTTGAGCCTTATGAGAAGTGATGAAAAGAAGGAAGTGTTTTTTATTTACAGGAATCTCCAATAAGGTAAAGAAAGGAATTTCAGTAAATCTGTAATTAGAATTGTGTTCTTCCTGTACTTCATATCAAGGAATCATTGAATAGTTTGGGCTGGAAGGGACCTTAAAGATCTAGTTCCAGCCACCATGACAGGAGCAGGGACACCTTCTACTAGACCAGGTTGTTCAAGGCCCTGTCTGACCTGTCCTTGAACAGTGCCAGGAATGGGGCAGCCACAGCTTCTCTGGGCAACCTGTGCCAGTGCCTCACCACCCTCACAATGAAGAATTTCTTTCTAATATCTGTTCTAAATCTACCTTCTTTCAGTTTAAAGCCATTACCCCTTGTCCTATCATTAAATGCCCTTGTAAAATGTCCCTCTCCAGATTTCTTGTAGCCCCCCTATAGGCACTGGAAGCTGCTCTAAGGTCTCCCTGGAGCCTTCTTTTCTCCAGGCTGAACAAGCCCGACTCTTTCAGCCTGTCATCACAGCAGAGCTGCTCCAGCCCTCAGAACATCTTTTTGGGCTCCTCTGGACTCACTTGAGCAGGTCCACATCCCTCTTGTGTTGGGGCCCAGAGCTGGAAGCAGGACTGCAGGTGGGGTGTCATGAGAGTGGACTAGAAGGGCAGAATCCTCTCCTTCAACCTGCTGGTCATGCTTCTTTTGGTGCAGCCCAGCATAAAGTTGACTTTCTGGGCTGCACACTGCCAGGACACATTGAGCTTCCCATCAACCAACATCCCCAAGTTCTCCTCAGGGCTGCTCTCAGACCATTCTCCACCCAGCCTGTATTTGTGCTTGTGATTGTCTCGACCCAGGTGTGGGACTTTGCACTTGGCCTTGCTGACCTTCATGAGTTAAGTGCAAATCTTTGAGGAGTGCTGTGTGTGCTTTATCACAGTAGAAAACTAGACATCAGTGACCAGTAAGTAAACTTACTATTGATGGTACTGCTAGAAAGAACAGATAAGGAAAGATTCTCTTGTATAGCATATAGGTCTTCTGTACAGGGAGGGAATACAGGTGCAACTAACTTTCTAAAAGTAAAGTGGTAAAGAAAACAGTCATCTGATTTTCTTTCACTGGTGTCATGCTCATTTAAAATACACTTCACATTGTAGCTCAGCAGATGACCTCTCTGTTTGGGATGCCAGAGTATTCTAAGTCATTGCATTTTGTTTACTGTTATTAAAGCATATGTAAATGTCTCTTCTTGACACAATTCCTATATCCTAAAAAAATGATGTTGTGTAACAATGATAGCAGAACATCCTACATTTTGTTTGTGCATGCAAAAACTAGATGGTAAATGCAACACAGTTCATATAATAATCTTTGATTCTTCTGACTTTCAAGGGAAACTCTCCTGTAATGTTTTTGGGCTTGTTTTTTTCTCAGACGTTTCGCAATAGCTTGCAAAGTTCCTATAAACAGTGGAGAGGGAATTGCAAAACTACGAGGATCTTCATTAACAGAAAAAAAAAAGAAAGTTGTATATACATGTTACCTGAAATGCCTTTCTTTTTATATGGAATTGTTCTGATTTGAATTGTTCATCTTGACGGTATTAAAGGATGTCAGTCTTCAAAAGTTGTGTAGTTCAGATGTTTCCCATCTTCTGATAATGTCTTTAGTTCAATGTTTGTGCTCAAGAAGAGAACAAATTGAATTTCATTACTATAAGGCAGGGTTTTTTTTAAATAGCAATGTAACATTATCATCCATATCAAGGTAGGGTTTAAAGGCCCTTGTTGGTTACCTTGCATAAAAATCAAAATGAATTTTCATTCTTCCTTCACTAAAATTAGCTGCTATTTTGCAGATTTGTTTTATTTTCTTTTTTTTTTTTTAATAAAGCTTTATCTGGAGAGAGAGAGATTCACTTCATCTAATTTGGTTTTGTTCAACTCAAATACCGAGCCACTAAACTGTGTCTTTTTATAAGAGGCCAGTGGAATTTTAGCTTTGGTAACCCTCTTTTCCAACTGTCACCTAGGTAAGTGTGTGTGAAAATAAGTATATGCTTGGAGCTGTTGAGCCAGACTTAGTCTAAAATAGGAAATGCTGCAGTCCTTAAATGGCAAGGAATGTCCAGTTCTGATAAGTTTGTTATTCACTTTTACAAGTGACTTAGTGGGTTCGAGTAAGTTTTCTACTTCATTTGTTCATTTGACGTTCAGCTGTTCCCAGCTGGTGTAGTAGCACAGTATGTTGAGCAAATTTATGTGTTGTTCTGCTCTCAAAATTAAATCACAGGACAAACAGTGATATTAACAGTGTCAGATACAGATGATGCAGGTTCTTGAATGTTCATGGTTGAAGTAACAAACACTGGAGAGATTAAACAGTGACCTGAATTTGTTTGGAGAAAATTTAGATTTATTCTGAGTTTTTCCATTCAGGACTACTGACATGGTTTAAAATTAAAATACTTGTATTATGTAAAATCTGAAATTCCATGATACCTACTTTAACCCAAAATGACTTGAAACTTGGCTGATTAGGTTAAAAAAAAGCATTAGGAGTAAGTTAGTTCATTGATAAACAGAGAAGGTTTCTAATGAAGCTTTTAAGGACTAGTTCTCCTTGCAAGTCTTTTGAATATTTATCAATATATCAAAAGAAGATACAAATCCATGATGTTAAGTTTGTCTCTAGTTTAAGTAAGAGCTAGAGGTGTTTTTTATTAGATTTCATCACAGTCCAGTCATTGTGCATCTACAGTCAGGTGTACTTATTTAATATAGACAGCGTAAGCCCAGACCTCTAGGAGCAGAGAATGTACACTACTGTGGGAATTCCCTCTCCTGTTGTAATGTTGCTGCACAAAAGCACTTGGAGTCCTTTAGTGGATAAGTACAGAAAAAAATAGCAATATTACATCTTCTGCATGCACCGTTGGCAGTCATGTTTTGTACGTTTCTATTGCCTGTTTTTTGAAAAGATTGCTAAAAATCTGTGGAGAGGCCAGGGGAGAGTTAGAAAATGATTTACAGTCTCAGAAGTATATGTCTTGCCATGAATCAGAAGGTACATCAGTCTACAGTTTGTCGAAGGCTGTATCTCCATGGTGCATGCACCCCTGAATAGTTTATCCAAGCTAGATTTAAATGTGTTGCCTTGTGTATTTGCTTGAAGGCGAGTATAAATGGTGTCTTGAGGACAGTCTGACCTACCCTGAGAGCAGTCTCATGCTGGTCAATTGTGTGACAAGATCCAGTGACTGAAAAAAGGAGAAGTGGTAGTTAAAAAAATGGCACAGTTCATCATAATTAATGTAGTTAGTTAATCATCGAAATACGATTTAAAGCAAAACATAGGGTCAGTGTGGAGCCTTACTTATTTGTTAACTATTGCTGATAATCAGTTTAAGTAGTGAATTGAGGTAAAGTTATATTTGTATATTATAAATTTCATTAAACTATTTTTTTTTCCATTAGAAAATACCCTTGCTATGTTCAAAACATAACTGAATAAGTAACATTCAGAAAGCTCTGAATAATGATAGGAAATCGTATTTAAATTTTTTTAAAATTATATTAGTATTTGTGAGCGTGATTCACTTTTTAAAGGGATTTGACATATTGTATTCATTTGTGTTATATTTGTATTTGTTTTGTATTATATTTGTTAAGAACTACTCCTGCAGGACAGTGTTATTCCATTCCCTCTACTTTAGTATTGTAATTTGCTTTTAGTTGAGAAATGAGTCTGGCTTCTTTTTTCCCTATTTTATGTTATACTAAAATAGTTATTACCAAGAAAGCAAATAAATGGATGGTAAACTGAAACATATGCAATGTCATTTGCTGCTGGTGATTATCCATTTGATTATCCACTGTAGAATTTTAATAGGGTTTGTCCTGGGTTTAGCAGTAGCAGTCAATTTTTCTCCTTGGTAGCTGGTGCAGCGCTGTGTTTTGACTTCCAGCCTGGGAACAGTGCAGATAACACTGATGTTTTCAGTTGTTGCTAAGTAATGTTTACCCTAACCAAGGACTTTCTGAGCCTCATGCTCTGCCAGGGAGGAGGGGAAGCTGGCAGGAAGCAGACAGGACACCTGACCCAAGCTAGCCAAAGAGGTATTCCATACCACAGCACGTCATGCCCAGGGGGGGTAACTGGGAGTTACCTGGAAGGACATGGGGTCTTTTGGGTCAGACTCATTTTTCGGTGAGTGGTATTGTATTCTCTTCCCTTGTTATTTTCCCTTATCATTGTTGTCATTGGTGGTAGTGCTGGTGATTTGTGTTGTACGTTGGTTGCTGGACTGTTCTTGTCTCAACCTGTGGGAGTTGCACTCTTTCGATCCTCCTCCCCGTCCCTCTGGGAGCAGGGAAGGGGAGAGCCCCTTAGTTGGGCAGGAACCCGGGCCTCGACCCCCCCCCCCCCCCCCCCCCGCTGTCTGGCTAGGTTAAACCACGACAGGGTTATAGATGGTTTACAGTATTGAATGATCAAGGGAACCTATAGAACAGAAGCATGGGGGGGGGTGGGTGTTTGATTACTTTTTGTTTTATTTTTCTTAATTGATTAATAAACTGATCAGTATTTTACTCAAGTTTTTAGTTAGTAGGACTGGAGAATTCATCCAGGTGGTGTTATTTGGTAGTAATTCTAGGACTTCATGGGGCAAGTATTGTCAATATCTACAGACTGCAGCATCTCCATTTAAAATGTATTATTTTTAGTCATTTTGGATGGCAAGAGAAGTATCTAGATGCAGAATCTCTGTTAGATTTTATAGCTACAGCAAAAAAGAAAGTGAACCAACTGGCAGTTTATATTAATGGTACTCATATATCCATGTATGTTAATGCTGAACTGGAGTGAATCATGCTTGCTCTTGTCCAAAACTAAGGAAAATAGTTGATGGAAACCATGAAATAGTTGACAAGAAGTGCCCCAAGAGCTGTGGGAAGAGAAGGGCTTTTTTCTCGCTTGCTTCTCTAGATGCTTCTCATTGCACTGACTTGATCCTTTTCCTTGACAGATTACTTGCGATCTCTGAAGAACTAAGTGTGGGGGTTACGCATGCTACACGTGAATGGGATAAGGTCACATTTATTTGCAAGTGTTAAAGGTCTGAGAGACACCTGTGGACAGTGGCAAAAGAAATGCATTACCCATATTCTGCCATTTGCTTTAAATGGTCACTGACTACGTTATTTAGTGCACATGTATTTGTTTTTCACTATTCACCAAAAGTAACATGAGCTTACACTGCAAATGAAAAGAGATACTTATTACATATGTTGATTTTGGTCCATGTCTGTTCTTCCACTTCTCTCTATAGGAAAATACTGTGGGTTTGGTTTTCAAATGGATGGTTTAATTACTTCAAAAAGTAATGAAGTCACAGTACAGTTCATGAGTGGAACACATACTTCTGGACGTGGATTTCTCGCAGCTTATTCAACCACTGAGAAATCAGGTATTTATAATCATTTGGTATTTTTCATGTGCTGGTAAAAGTAGAGCTAAGAAACCAGAACTAATTTATTTATTTACACATTTTCGCAAATTACCTTCTAAAAATGAAGACTTTTACTATGGCCTTGCTGGTACTTCTGTGTAGGAAATTGGACTGTAAGTTACTGTAGCTTTAAAAAAATAGTATCAGACCTTACCTTGGGTAGCAGAGGAAGAATCAGAGTCATTTGTTATGAATTAAAGAGCTGGCTCAGATAAAGGACAAAATGCATTTGTTTTTCAGGTAGCACTCAAGGTGACAGATAATAAGTTTTCTTCTCGAGCTATTATGTATTTGTACAGTCATGGAAAATTTTATTTCAGTAATGGTATTCTGTACTCCCTCAGCTCTTTAATTATATAATCTGCTGACTACTTTTTAGTCTTTTTGCAATTTCTGTGGGTTTTCTGATTCTTTTCTCTCTGTATTTTGCACTGTATATGCCGATACACAGTAGACAAAAAGTGAAAGTATCAGCCATGGATGTAAGTAACATGTCACTCTAGTATTTGTTCCCTATGCTGCCTATTTTCAGTACTGCAGGACTGTTAAATGCTGAAAACGCAGGTCTGTTTAGTTAGTTTATTAATTTAATTTTGAATTTTGTGAAAAGAGCATAAGTTTGCATCTCTGAAAAAGAAAAGATGTGAAATTATTGATTTTAAAGTTGAAATTAAAAATTGCTGAGCTGAATGAATTTGGTAGGTAGTTTCTTGCCTTCCTTAGATATGCACCACTCTCCTAGCATCTGTTTGGTTTGGCATCTTGAATTTGAATGTTACCTCTATGAATTAATTGAGAAGCTGCCGTGAGGCTTGGTTTTCCTAATTAGCCATTTATTGTGGCTTCTCAGTACTCTTACAGGCTTCTGAACTTTCAGGAGCTATACATTACCTTATTTTTTAGATTGGATATAAGAAGGAAATTCTTTCCTGTTAGGGTGTTGAGGCACTGGAATAGGTTGCCCAAGGAGGCTGTGAATGCTCCATCCCTGGCAGTGTTCAAGACCAGGTTGGACAAAGCCTTGAGTGAGATGGTTTAGTGTGAGGTGTCCCTGCCCATGGCAGGGGGGTTGGAACTTGATGATCTTAAGGTCCTTTCCAACCCTAACTATTCTATGGTTCTGTGAGCCTATGATTCTATCTTAGGCTCTCTGAGGTATAGCTATGAATTAAAACTAAGTTGCATAGAAAACAAATTTTTGTAGTATGTTCTTATCTTCTTATCTATGTCACTTTCTCAATGGATTTCCCAGTTACTCAGGCAAATTACCAAGGTTCTACTGTGATACAAAATCTGTTGCAAGAAAATTTGGTAGGAACTAAATGTTTTTTTCATTCTGAGGCTTCTGGTTTTGTGTACTTTAAAAAGCCTACTCAAACTTGTTTTCTGTATCATCCTCTTGACCTAACATTTTTTCTTTCCAGACCTAATTACCTGTCTAGACAATGCAAGTCACTTTTCCGAACCAGAATTCAAGTAAGACTGATTTTTTTTTTTTTTTTTTTTTATCTGTTTCCCCCTCAGTCTCTTTAAAGGAGTAATTTTAGTGTTTTCGCTTCACTGTTACATATACCTGATGCAGCTTTGGCTTGTCCAGATAACTTGAGAAACAAACTAATCAGGGTTAGAGCTGGGTAATTTTGATCTTTGCACTCCTCCTTTCTCCCTCTGTCTCCCTTTTTTTGTTATTTACATGCAGTATACAGTAGAACCTCGTTAATTTGCATTAATGTATAGAAGCTAATATCTTATTTCCATAGACAGAACGTTGCTTTTATAAACATATATTACAGAAGGTATACACCTTGAATGATGAAATTTATATTGCAGTTACCTAAGGAGCACTATGAAATGTGTTAAAAATTGCAATCCCATTTCATAGTTTGGTGTGAATTAATGGGGTTCTTTGAAGACATAAAATGCTGTGCCTTCTGATGGGGGAAGCTGAAGTCATTTCCATGTTTTATCCTTCTCTATTTTCATCTAAAGCAAGGGCAGTGTTTAAAACTGCAGACTTGTGAAGTACATAGCTTACTTTTTGGAGATCTTAATCCCTGCCATGGTGAAGTGTTTCAAAGTGCAACTTTTGCATTTCTCTTTAATTTTCCGAAGTTCCAAAACAGGGCCCTAATTGTAGCTTCTGGCCTTATACCTCATGTGCTTAAGTCTCTGAATCCCACTATTTCCGTGGTACCTGCAATGTTGAACTGCAGTGAAAATGTTAATGGTTTATTCCAGTTCACTGCTAGATCTTGAAGATTTATGAAGATTTAATAGTTTTTGTATGTGCAGTATGAAATGGCACCAGAACATGAACATGGGCTTGCATTAGAGGTACAGATGTCTTGCCTCTTGCTTTTCATGAGCTAGTGGCATTAACTGAATTTGGCCAGCTTTTTATGGTCAAAGCATTGCCAGGAATATTGTATAATAGCATTACTTTTCAGATGTATTATTTAAAGGTGCAAACCAAATAGAGATGCAGGTGTTTAGTTTATAAAATAAAATTTGTTAATATCATTACCTATATGACTTTCAATTTACAGAAGCCATGCAGTGTTTATATTATAAAATGCTGGCTTTATTATATTGAGACTAGAACTGTATTTTCAAATGAGACTTTTAAAAATCTTCTTTACATGTTCTGTCCTCCTCTTGTGTACTTCTCTTCCTGAGTATTTTTTTCTGCTTTGATAGGTCTTCAATCAGGATATATCCTTAAATAGTGATATATGAATGATAGCAGTGTAAATCAAAAGCACAGTGACTATTTTGTAGTTGCATCCATCTTTTGACTTGATATTTTGTTTTCTTCTAGTAAGTATTGTCCAGCTGGATGTGTGATTCCTTTTGCTGATATTTCAGGCACTATTCCCCATGGATACAGAGATGTGAGTAAAAATACTGTGGGCTCATGAGAGTTTTGCTAAAACACGCAGTGTATAATTACAAGTCATTTATAGTTCTTCATGTTAGTTCTGTTGCCTGGATTCTGGAATATATTCCTCCTAAAGCTGAATAGCATGGTACTTGGTTTTTGTGCACAGCTGCTAAGTGCCCAGTGCTTCAGATGTTGCCATCTCAAACAAGTGATGTGGTAGAGACACTAAGGCCTGCTGAGAAAGGTGGATCAATCAAAATAATGTGTTATATTTTCTTTTTGGTTTTGTTGGCTTTCTCAGGTTGGGAAATTCAGATTTAGAGAACCAGTTCTATTAATGATGCCATCTTGGTTTTGACAACTGTAATGCCTCTCTAAACAGAGGGTCACAGTGGTTTTCTTAATTTTTATTTGCAGCATGAAAGATGAACTACTATTTATGCTTGGCAGCTATGAAACCATTTTCGGAACAGAGTTAATGCTGCAACATTAATAGTTCTGTAAACAGGAAATTAAAATCTTTAATAATGTAAAGTTTGCTTAGAACACTACAAAACCCTATATAGTGTTTTTCTGATGTAAGCTTGTACAACTGAATTAGCCTGCCATAGGACTGGAGGGAGTTTGCTTTTTTTAAGTGTTTTAAGAATTTAAGAATTTTGCTAGTAATCTAGTAAAAGATTACATTAAATTTCTTTGCTTAAAATATTCTTTTAGGAAGCCATTAGATTTGACACAGAGGAAAGACAATTAAAAAACATTAATAAGCAAAAATTTTAATATTAAATATGAACCCGAAGTGCATGTCTCTGATTTTGTTTTCTCAAACATCAAAATCATAGGATACCTATTTAAATAATTACCCATACGTAAAAATGTCATGTACAGCATAACTGTGTTACATGTTCTGGTCCACCGCGAGTTCTTTCTAAATGGCTGTGAGGTAATTTTTGTAGCTTGAGATTGATTCTCTGCCTAACATATTGGCAGCATCTGTGGGACTTATGCTTTTTGGGATTTTTTTTTTTTTTTTTCCCAAAATCTGGGAAACTGTTTTCTGTGGAGGAAAAAGGAAACTTAAGGAAATAAATGTCTTGTGACTTTTCATATACTTCATTGCTGTTAAAGGGCAGAGAATTTCGCAGAAGTCAGGCTGTGTGGAAACAAATCAAATTGTCTGGCCCTTTACACCAAATTCCAGATACAAACTCTCATGCGTCTCTTCTAAATGATAGCAGTTGCTTGCTACTTTAAAAAATACCCTAAATCTTGATTCCTTTGTGTGCGACCCCAGTGTCCACAGTCCTTGAGGATTTGGAGCTCTCATTGCTGACATTTTCTGGTGAGCAGGAAGAGGCGAGAGCTGCATCACTGCTCTTATTTCCAGGGAACATAGGAAAGAGGAGCTGCAGCACAAATGAGACAATTACATTTATTTAGAATGTTTTGGGGATATTTTGGGGGTGGGGAATAGCATTAGAGTTTTTATGAGTGAATATACTGAGGAGAATTATGTTTGGAAAAGTCTTGGTGAGCAAGGTTTTTTTTGCTGGTTAGCTTGAGAGATATGGGCATCCTTGCCTGCTGCACTGTGCAGTTATTTCTAAAGAAGCCACAGTGGATAAAGTTGTTTTGTTTTTAAAATAATGTGAGAAAGAAAATCATCCATGAAGCCTTCCTTCTGTGGAAAGGACCTGCTGATTCCTTTTGTAGCGGGACTCTACAGCACCTAGTGGACTGGTTGGCAGAGCAGTGCAGCAGATATGTTTAGTAGCAACAGCTACCAGTGGACTTCGTTTGCTCTCAGTGGCACAGGTAGCCTGCAAGCCAGGGAAATGGATGTGCCACTGTGACATTTGTTAGTGGATCCAGGCTAACAGTTTTCCAGTGAGAGCAGAAAAGGACAGGATGTCCTGCAAAAACTTTTTGTGTAACTGATGTCCATTGACCTTTACAGGCTAGGTAATCAGCTTCTTTAGAAGGAATTCATGTATTTAGTGTGGGCTTGTGTGGATCAGAGTGCTTTGTGGTTAAACCATGAGTTAAAAAATATAACCTATCGGCTAACAGCTACAAAATCTGCAATGCATCACTCCTTAATTGTGAGGAAATAAATATACTTTCAATGTGCTTTCTATTAAAAAGTTGCCTATGTATTTATATATTCAACTTCTGTTGTCTAACATAGTAGATTTATTGTAGGCTGAAAGTCTGGCTATCTGGCATTTTCAGGCTCAGTCACCTTGCTGTTTGTTTGAGCTTATTTAATTACACGAGTTATACTCCAAATACATCTGGACAAGGATGCATTGAAATGTAGGACCTTCTTTTTATGTTTTTATAAATTCCATAATAAACTGAAGATGAATGGTTTCTAAATAATGGAGATACGGTTAAATAAGAACAGTGTCTTAATGTAATAATAACAAAGACTATAACTAGACAATGTAGCATTTACAATATACAGTGTAGTATTTTAACTTATTTACAAATCAGCATTGCATTTTCTTTTTCTCTTCAAGTCATCATCACTTTGTATGGCTGGTATTCATGCAGGCGTTGTATCAAATACTCTGGGTGGCCAAATTAATGTTGTAATCAGCAAGGGCATTCCATACTATGAAGGCTCCCTGGCTAACAATGTCACCTCAAAAGTGTGAGTATATTTCCTATCTTCTCCTTATATATAGCACGTGAGGTCGTGGTAGTGTCTAATTGTGGAATTAATTTCAGCTGGTGGAGCTGTGTATTCCATGGACAGGTTTTCTTCTGGAAGGTTCTCGCAATGCTCTTTTGCTGTGGTGTGACTCTTTTATCACATACTTTAACCTCTACACCATAAAGATGAATTTTCCAAATTCTGCAAGGGGTAGTTTTTATCTTCCAAAATGCATGGCATGACCATAAAGTCCTAATGCTCTGTGGAAATATAATAATTTAACAACAACTTTCTAGCTGCAGAGAAAGAGCGTGTCATTTTATCTCAAAAGCCCCAGGAATTAAAGCAATCAGAGGAGATTGGTTCTTGTTATTGTGATTAGTTTAATTTAAAAGGGAAGCATTTTAATGAAGTCTTGAGTTTTTCTGGGCAGGTGTTTGTTTGAAAGCCTTTAAGTCTGATAATATCACTGGGCTAGATTTCAGTTGGAAAGGTGTCTGTACTGAAAGTGCTGCCAACTTGGTGATGGGAAGTGTTACTTTAATTGTGAAGTGCTTGTTTAGGCATTTCTGCATAGGTTTCAGTGGCAAGCATTAAGGCAAGAAAAATAAACTGAAGAATGTTTGTTTCATTTTCTTCACTGACTACCACAGAACCCATCTTCTTTTGTTCTCTGCAGGGGACTGTTATCTACTGGTCTTTTCACATTCAAGACGAGCGGTAAGCATTATCACATGTATTGCATGTTGATACTTTCATACAAATTTTGTGAGTAGAAATAAGTAAGTGTGCAGGTGTTTTATTTCTTAATTTTTGCTTGTTAGACTTTTTTCCCTGCATTCCTCACTAATGTGTATTTTTAATTAACTTTACTTCCTCATTTTGATGATTAATCATCTCTACATATATATATATGTATAAATTAAACCTTGCTTATCTGCAGAAAGAGATTCTTTCAGGTTATGTTCCTGTCTTATAGTCTGGTTTAAAGTGACTCCTATACTTTAAACATATTGCTAAATCACATAAAAATAAAGCATATTGTTAATCCTAAAATGATTCCTCAACTTTTTCCATCCTGTTTTACTTTTTATCTTCCCATACTATTGCAGATGAAAGCTATAGATGAAAGAGATAGATTACTTATCTCTTGCTCAGGAAGGGCATCTCTTGGGCCCTTGCTCTGTGTGTAAGTTGTGTTCCTTCTTGACCACCGTGTTTTTTCTGAAATACGTACGAGGTTGCTGATTGGTATAACAAGTGTTACACCAAAGCCTTTTTTAGGTCTTTACTGCTTTTCATGTTTTTACTTTCTAGCAATTTCCCTGGTTCATAAATAAATTAGCTGTAGTTTTATAAATGAAAGGTAGCTTTTCTGTAAGTCACTTCTAACATCTATTCAGAGATGGCATTTAAAGTATTGTGAAATCAGTGGCCTTTCCTTAGTTTCTTTAACTAACAATATAAAAAAAACTTAACAAAAGAATTTTGTCTGTTTTCTGTAAGAATAAAGAGCAAAACAAAAAAGAAAGGGGGAGGGGAATCATACACATACTCTTCAAAAGTAAACAAATACTTTCCCTAATATATAAATAAAATAGATGCTGAATGGGGATATATAAGCAGGAATCTGATGGGCAGGAGTGTTTGGAGATGGAAATGTATACAAACGACATAATGTTCAAGTAATTTCTCTCCCAGACCCCTGTAAGAGCTGGAAGAAGGAATTGCATGTCTGGTGACCTTATGCATGGAGAATATTAAACACAGTGGTCGAGGCAGGGTTTATTGGTTTTTGGTTGTTTTTTTTTTGTCTCTCAGAATGTGATCTGATAGTGTATAGAAAAGGAAGTAAATGGCCTGGATATATGAAGAGCTAGGACAAAATGCTGAGCTAGACTATCTGGATTTCAGTCACACATTTGAAAAATTATTGAATAAGATAGAGACGAGGTACAGGTCTAGATTAAAATTCTTGTGTATTTGGGTGGCCTGGGAGTTTGCTGAAGGAGAAAAAGGATTCCATATTATGTTCAAATGAGGTTTATCAGAGTGTGGTGAAGTTACTCATGGGATTCTTCTGTAGCAGTTGACTTCATGACTTGGTACAAAATAGAGGAGTGTGTTATTAATGCTAGAGGTGTGGCCAGTGCAAAGGAAGGTGAAAGTTTGTACAGGAAAACTTGGCTGACTTTGAGACTTGAGTAATAGAAATTAATTTAAGAATTGCAGAACAAAAAGTATAAAGTTGGGTATGTAGAGACTGGCATTTCTGCTTCAAATCGGCAGCATGTTAGATGGAAATGACAGACGAGGGAAAGGATTAGTGAACTGCTAATGTAATCATGCATTGTAGGAGGTTATGTCTAGTAGAAACAACAAACTATTAATGCTATCACACAGGATATTGGCAAGGCTTTGTCTGGGATCCAGTGGCGCTTCGGGTCTGCCACCTGTACTTCCTTTGAGGCATGAGCATCCGACCTTGATGGAAAGAAGGGCTGCAGGGGCACCTCCAGGGGGTGGGGGAGCTAACAGCAAAGGGGAAACCATGGGTTGGTTGTTCAGGCTGGCGTACTGAAGGCAAAGATTGCTCTCTAGTGATATGTCTGGGGAATACACGTGTGAAGGGAAAACTTGTCACTACAGAACAAGATTTTAGCAAAAAGAAAATGGGATATCAAATAGCCACAAGGAAGTTTAGCCAGGAATTTAGGAGATATTTATTAGCCATCAGCAGAACGTGACATGGGAAGAAACTTCTAGTAAGAATGGTGACAGAAAAATACAACTGATTTCAAGGATATGTTTGAGCTCAAGGCCAGGATTATGACAACAGCTTCCTACATGCTATGGTGTATTGTTCAAATTAACATTGTGATACCAAGGTGGGTTTAAAACCCAAAAAGTTCTGTGACACAAAAAAGAATGATCAAGTCGTCTGTTTCCCATCTCTTTGTTAATCATACATGCTTCTAAACCATGACACCTCCCCTACAGCTTCTCGTGTAGTGCTCTGTGTGGATGGTAACTGAGAGAATATCCACATGCTCTTGAGCAGACATAAATCATAGAACAGTCATGACCCCAAGTTTGCTTCCAGCATCACTGTTAGAAAGCAGAAAACAGTGTGTTTTGTTGGTAGTGTTTTTATGGAATAAACTTAGATGGCAGTTTAATATTTGCATGTAAAGTCTTAAACTCCAAGCAGGTGAAATCATTGAGTAACTTGAATTTTCATTTTGAATCCTCTTTCTCTCTTGCTCAGGTTGCTATGGGACACTGGGGATGGAATCTGGAGTAATCCCTGACTCCCAGATCACAGCATCGTCTATTCTTGAGTGGCCTGACCGAACAGGACAAATGAACATCTGGAAACCTGAAAATGCCAGACTAAAAAGGGTTGGTCCTCCCTGGGCTGCTTTTATCAGTGATGAACATCAGTGGTTGCAGATTGACTTGAATAAAGAAAAGAGAATAACAGGTAAGTGAATCTGATCTGGCTTTTAAGCAGCATTCAAAAAGTTTGGTTACTGACATCCTTTTTTCTAGTGCTTGGTCTTAGGTAAACTCCAGGTGATGTTTAATTATAATTACAGCAAAGTTGGTTCCATGTCCTAGCTAATACACTGGACCCTGGAGTTGAACAGGTGGAGTTTCATAGTAGAAAACACCTCTTCCATCATAATTTTTTGAAATGTTTCCTGTGGTTTTATTGGATCCTTGATGCTTCCGTGCTGTCTCCTTGCAGGTGCAAATCCATATCCAGTCAGTCCACTGGTACCTTTGATGCAGGTGTACTGCCCAGCACGGCTGTAGTGAATCCAGCAGTGGAATAGGAGCAGATGCACTGCAGTGTGAGATAGGAGCAGATGCACTGCAATGTGAGATAGCAGCAGAGTGAATTGGCTTACAGGCTCCCTGTCACCTCCTTGCCTGAAGTGGAATTTGGGCTGAGAGCTGGGGATGGTGGGCACCTCGCCAGTCTATTGTGCTTTCCCTCAGCAAATGGACCAAACAGTGCAGACCAATACAGCCAGAGTCTGGGTTAGGCTCTGCTCCTTCACAGCAACTGTGGTAGACCATGACTATAGGAGAGACAACTGGAGGTGCTGTTTCCCAAACCTGCTCTGAATGGTTTGCTTCACGTTTTGGGAGTTGAATAAGCTCATGGTTTCCTATTCCTGTTGCTGGCAATGTGGTCCATGGTGAGTGCACTAGGCAGTAGTGAAGCACAAGGCATTTACATTTTGGGTTTAACCTCAGGGGTAGCCTTAAGTAGTGGCAGTGCAGCTACTGTATCTTCCGTGTTGCCGGTAGCATCTTCTGTTTTAATTGTCCAGAGGTGATTCAGTGTTGTTAATAGGCATGTTTGCAGTCTGACTTAAATCAAATATAAAGTGACTTTAGTAGAGTGCTTCATAGAGTCCCAGGCTTTAAGACTATTGTGAAACATCCTCCTTTGATAAGTTTGTCTCTTTCTTAAGTGCATGAGTTGGTCTCTAAGCTCAGCTGCACACTGTGCTATTAGCAGCTTGACTTCCTGTCATTAAACAACTTGGGTTCGCCAGCAGCCTTTGTTATTACCTCCCTGGGGACTGCTTGGATTTTACATTACTCCTCTAATTCCTGTACTAATAAGCTTTTACAAAACAGCTTTCCTGTGTGAGTCATTGTGTGGTGCTGAAGTGTGGGCTTTAGGAAGCTATGGTTCTTTCAGTGGTGCTTTGTGGTTGGCAGTACAAAAGCAGTGAGGAGCAGTACTGGATACAGGAAGTGGGCCATGATCAAATGAGCAGGCTGTTTGTATCAGGAAATAGGGGAAAAGTGCTTAGCAAGGTTGTTTCATGAGAATTGAAATATAAAAGTAAGTAAAATGACTGTTAAGTTTTAGTCACTGTAGAAGTTTCAGACCCTGGCACTTTGGATAAACTTTTTGAAATGTAACTGGGCCAGTGGAGATTCCAAGTGTGTAGCTCTGGATTCAAAAGCTGATCTATTAAGTTTTACAAGCTGGTACCCATTTTTTGTCTAATGGAGCACCTTTATTTTCACAGGTATTATAACTACTGGATCAACCTTAGCAGAGTACTTTTATTATGTCTCTGCGTACAGAATTCTGTACAGTGATGATGCACAGAAATGGACAGCATACAGAGAACCTGGCATGGATAAAGATAAGGTAAAAATACCACACACTTTCTAGGTATGTTCGATGGACATTTCACAATTCTAAATAAGACTAATTCTGGTAAGGTGAGGAAACATTAAATAACTTCCCTTTCCATGTAATTTTGAATTATAAATGGCATCTACATAGAAGAAAATATGCAAATATGTAAGAATTTGAACAGTCCTGAAATTCAGAAATTATTAGTATTTGGGCATGAGAATATTCTGTGCAAGAAACTTCTGTTGTCAGTGGTAAGCTGACTGGTAGTGTGTCCCTTTTAAGAATAATCAGATTTCTTTCAAAAGAGGTAGTATATTTTAAAATTAAGGCTTACTTTCTTATCCTCTTGTGGTTACAGAATAAATGTTAGGGGCTGTATAATTTTATGTCTTCTATCAATCTTGCTTTTTGACCCAACCTGACAAAGTTTTTTCCTTGTATAATAGAACAGCCCTTGCAGAGTGGAGTTTTCTTAAGAAATGGAATGGCATGTTCAGATTGAAACTGCTTTGCCACACAGAAAAACTACCTGATGTTAGTGGCAAGATAATCTTATCTTCCCCGTGTTTACAGTTTTGCAGTATTTGATAGTAAAAATGAGAAGATTAATGTCCTATGTGGTCTTCCCCATGGTTTGGGGCAGATTTTCTTGAACAGATGGAGAGGTTTCTTGGTAATCTGACTGTAACTTCATTCTTTTTCTTAAAATTCTTGGACGTAATTTACCTTACTTCCATAGGCCTGCCATACAACATACATGTAACAGTAACCTAGTAACTGACTGGGCTTAAGCTGGTCTTTAGCTGTACTTGGTTTTCTTCCCTTTGCTGTGGGTTACAATGTTTCAAGGTATAGGATGTAGCATCCTATGGTGAAGTGAAAGGTTGAAGTATCTTTTTGTTTGTTATATTATGAGGTCTTTGAACCCTAAACTTAACCATAGTAGGAAGCTTCCCTGAGAGAAGACTACTGTTGGGGCTGGTTCATCTCCTCGAACCTGCGTGTGAACTAACAAGACTTAGTATGAAGTATTCAAGGGGGGAAAAAACCCCCAAAACTCAAACCAAATCCAGGTCTTTTGCTAGTTTTGGAGTGCCCTCTTGTGACCGTAAAATATAATCTCAGCTTCAGCTTGTGAGCTGCCCAGATCTATTGAGGCTTCTTGTTTAGTTTCATTATTTTCTTAGAAAACCTCTGCAGCTGTTGCTTTTTAGTTTTTTTTTTCTTTGTTTATTTGAAGTTCATGAAATGAAATACATTGTGGAGCCTGAAATTGCAGGCAAAAGCTCTTCTATGCACTCTTTGTAGTGTTAGGTACAACACATGAAGAACCAACCGTGCACACCCAGTAACTGCCAGCTGTAGTCAAATGGCAGAAAAAAAGGTTCAGTCTGGTTGCTTAGGCTTCAAACTAGTGAATTTTTCCTCTGTCTGACATGATCTTGCTTGACGCAGGTTTGCTTTGAATGCATGTGCACACAGGCTTCTCCCTTTGAGTCTTAAGTAATTGCACACCACACCAACCAGAAGGTGCTATTCCCTGTTTTTTTGAAAGATACTTGAAATTCCTAACACTGTGTAAGAGACCAGAAGCTTTTCCAAGGTTTTTGTGTAGTCCTCTTTGTAATAGAAGCCTGTCAGTACTCAAAAAAAGTTTTTCTTAAAATTTTCATGTATGAGAAAAAGAATAAAATGCTTGAATTGGGGGAAGTGACAAAACAAAGCTGCAGTGTTGGAAAAGTTTTGTTTGACAGCACAGAGGCAAACAGGAGAGAGTTTGATCATAAATGTGATTTCTCATGAAATACTTGCCCTGTATTGAGCTCAGAAGCAAATTTTTTTATGCAAAAATAATTAAATGAACAAAAAATACCAAGCTGCAGGTAAAATTAAGTTACTATCGTAACACTTGACATCAAAAGCTTGACTAATAAAAGGCTGGAGTAAAGAACTGCTTTACTGTTACTTTCTTGAAAATTGCCCTTATTTAGGGGGAAAAGTGGCTCCAAATTGGAACCTACTCTTCCATGGACATACAAACTGACTGCTTTGTATTCTTATTTCCAAAACAACCTCAATACACTTGTCCCTGCATTCAGTCTGCCTGCGTTCATTGCTAGTAAGTGTATTTAAGAAGACTAAGCTTAAATTCAGAGTGGGACAAGTATGACTGAGAGCCATAGAACCATAGAATGGTTTGGGCTGGAGGGGATCTTAAAGATCATCTAGTTCCAGTCGCCTTGGCAGGAGCAGGGGCACCTTCCACTAGACCAAGCTGCTTAAAGCCCCATCCAGTCTGACCTTGAACTTGAACACAGTGTAAATTGTAAATCTGTGATTGTAAATCTGCACTGCAGTAGGCTGGGAAAGAACGGATACTATATACCTTAAAGGCAAATACAAGGTATTTGCCTACCTAGATTTATAGTATCATGAATGGGTCAGCAGTTAGTCTGATAGTGCTGCATTTGTATGTATTGATACTTACAAATAAAAATGCTGGTTACTAATTTCAGATGTAGAATCTCCAATACACTCAGACATGAAGTACTGCATTTAAATTACCAAATGATTTATTTTTCCATGCCTAGCTAAACTGAGGTATGTGTCTATTTGATCAGCTGGTGCTTGAAAAAAATGCCTGTGGAAGGACAAACCAAAATTCTTAGGCGTAAGCAACAGTAATGGGGTGGGTGTGTTTTTTGAGAATGGAGACACATCGTGTATATCGGGGAGCCCAGGCATGAGCTAGTGCAGTTGTGCAACATTATGTTTGTCTCTTTTTTTTTTTCCTTTCTTTTCTAGGTATTTCAAGGGAACACTGAATTGTACCAGGAAGTTCGCAACAACTTCATTCCACCCATTATTGCACGCTTTTTTAGGATTAACCCCTTAAAATGGCACCAGAAAATTGCAATGAAAGTAGAACTGCTAGGATGTCAGTTTAGCATAGGTAAGGTGACTGAAAACCTTTCAACTGTTCAAGACAAGCAGTGAGATAATTTGGCAAATATGATATTGGGGGTATATTTTAATGAGGAAAAAAGTACATCTTAGCTGCCTAATTCTTTTGTAACTGACACCTCTGAATTTCTTCAAAAATTATTACACTTAACCTGGAAAATAGCTCATTCAGGTGTAAACTAGGTAATTTAGAAAACTTATGTTTCAAAAGACACCAGTCAGTTGCTTTCCATGTCACTGATTCACATGGGGGATGAGGTTCCTCGTTGTATAATATGAACAAAAACCTTTAGAGCAAACTGTTGCAGCTGTCTTCTCCTGAAAAGAAAACACGGAAAACTAGCAACTCTAATCACTTTTTTATAAAACTCTTTTCTTCTAAAGGCCGTGCTCCTAAAATCACCCTGCCACCTCCACCTCAGAACAAGAATGATAACAAAAACAGTGAGATCAGTGATGACATCATTAATTCAGTGAAGACTTCGTTGCAGACAGATAAAACAACTTTCACACCTGAAATAAAAAACACTACAGTGACTCCAAGTGTAACCAAAGGTATCCACAGTTTAGCAGTAAAAGTGTTTGGGAACTCCTTACAGTACCCTAGCATATATTAAGTGTGCTTTCTGAATTTAAATTTTCTCAACGCTTATAGATGCTAGCAAGTTACCAGTCTTTTCTTTTTAATATTTACCAGTTTTAAAAAAATTTTAATATTTACCAGTGATAAAAAATGAACAGTTGCATACTGTATGCAGAAACAAAACTAATCTAAGTCATTGGCCTGGTTTCAGCTGGTATAGTTAATTTTCTTCCTAGTAGCTGGTATGGTGCTGTGCTTTGGATCTGAGAACAGTGTTGATAACACAACAATATTTTAGTTTTTGCTAAGTAGCGCTTACCTTGATCAAGGACTTTTCAGTCTCTGATGCTCTGCCACTGAGGAGGAGCACAAGAAGCTGGGAGGGAGCAGAGCCAGGACAGCTGACCTGAACTAGCTAAGAACCATATATATCATAGAACATTATCAGTGTAGAAACTGTGGGGAGTTGGCTGGTAGGTTCTGATTGCTGCTTATGGGCTGGGCACTGGTCAGCAGGTGATGAGCAATTAAACTATGCATCACTTACGTTTCTTGGGTTTTATTTCTCTCTCCCCTTTTGTTGTTTCCCTTTTCATTACAATTATTATAATAATAGTAGTAATTTAATTTATTAAGTTTTTCTTATCTCAGCCCATGGGTTTTACTTTCCACCCATTCTCTTCCCCATCCCACCAGGCAGGGAGTGAGCAAGTGGCTGTGGCAAGCTAATTATAAGCTGGGATTACACCATGACAGTCGTATTAAATATATAAATTCTTTCTTTCAAAACTTGTTCAAACCAAGTTCAGCTTTTAATTGCTGAATAAATTTTGTCAGGAGAAGTGGAGACTCGGAGTTAATCAGTTTTAACTGTTTCATTATTTAAGTTGTTAAATTCTTAGGACAAAACACTTTTGACATAGCTAATATTTTATGGAGCATGAAATTCAAAAAACACCATCTAGCAGCATGTTTTTTATTATCAAAGAAAACGGTCAGAAAAAGGAGCAAGATCACTGCAGATGCAGGCACTGGTGACATGTCCTTTAGATGGTAGGGGACAGTCAGACCCAGCATGGACTGCTTCTGTTAAGGTACTGTAGTGTTTACTTCTTATAGGAGGTTCAAACTTCAGCAGTTGCTCTTGATTTTCCTTGTTAATAATAAAATATATTGTTCTAACACAAACACCTCACTTACGGTAGAATGTGTTGATTTTGATGACAAACCTTGCAAAAATAGCAGCTGTAGAAGAGCTAGATGCTAATGACATTTACACTGGGAGCATCCAGCAGGGTAGCTTAGCTGGGGGAATCTGGTGCGATGGATGCTGTACATGAAAACTATGTGCTTTACCCACGTAATTTGCAAATTAAACACTGATTTATGAGAAGCTCTTCTGTCTGACACCACTTAATTTAATGGCTTTCAGATGTGGCATTGGCAGCAGTTCTGGTTCCAGTGCTGGTGATGGTCTTCACTACTCTGATTCTTATCTTAGTTTGTGCGTGGCATTGGAGAAACCGGTAAATGACAAGATTAATGAAAGTGCTTTAAATGAATGTTAGCGTGGTGCGGGGAATGCAGTGCTGCATGTATTGCTGTGGGAGCTACGCGGTCTGCCCTTGTGGAAGGAGTTTGTTCAGAACTGTATTCTCTGTGACTCGCAAGGGCAGTGAAAATAGCTTTTTGTAATGTTCTCCTTACAAGTGCTTTTACTGAAAACTGGTTTCTCCAGTAGCAGCACTGGTGATGGCAAGACAGGTTACTGGTGCTTCTGTGTTAAATCTGATGACCAGCTACAGCCAAGGTGATAGTTGCTGAGTGTTAATTAATGCACCTTCTGATAAATACATGAACTAAAACATCTCCTTTTTCACAGCAAGAAAAAAACTGAGGGCACTTATGATCTACCTTACTGGGATCGTGCAGGTAACGAAACAGTTTTCTGAAATCCTTCACATTTTTTGTTTGATGTATATTTCAGATAGCAGCAACACTGACAATTTCCACTAGCAGAAGCTTCTCTAATGCTAACTGATGTGGGCCTAGTGAGCACTGAATTGCTATTCTGGACAGACTAAACTGCTTCAATTCCCTGGATTATTACTGCTCTTCCCAGAAATAGAAAAATGCTTTGTCTCCTGCTAGAGCTTACAGCTTCACATCTCCTTTAGGAAACAAACTACAGAACCTTTTAATTACACATGAGGGGAAGAAGTAATTTATGAGAATGTCTTTCTACATTTGATAATCATGTATTTGGTACTTTTTTTGTCCTGGAAAAAAACCTTTCATCTTAGTGTATAAGGTCTCTCAAGTTTTGTCTGTCTTCATTGCCATATGAAGCAAGTGGGGTTGTCTGCAACCCCTTCTTCGCATATCTTCCATCCTACTGTCTTGTGCTCCATTAACTTAAGATCAGACAATTCCACCAAGCAGCACTTAGCAAGTGTCCTGAGAATGCTTGTGCTACATACAGCTTGAAGGGCTGCTGCAGCACTTGGGGTTGTACTGTCTGTATGACCAGACTACACTTCCCTGTCCTTATGGTGAAAGATTCCCCAAGTGTGCTTGCTCACTGCAGTTTTAAGTAGGCCTTATCCTTTAGATGAGAAACTTTCTAATGACCTTATTTTTATTTATGACATGTCTGTTTCTGATAGGTCACAACACTGTTGTCTTAGACTAATAGGCTCAAAGTATCTTGTATTTAAGTCACAATGATGGACATGCCAGGTTTTTTTCCTATTTGCTTAAATTTAAATGCTCAGGATGGAGATCTGCTTAAAAGCAAATCTGGCAAAATCCACTATCACAATAATGTTGCTGAGCTTCTCTGTGGAACCTCTGTCTGCCCCCTCCAATCAGGTACCTCAAACTTTGTTAAACGGTGTTCTGCAGTTTTGAATCTCCCATTTCTTGGGTTTTACCTACAGGATAGTCTCTTACAGCTGGAATGAAATATGTTAATGGACAGCAAAACTAGAATGGCTCTGGCTGCTGGGGGGAGAGATGGGGGAACCTAACACAACCACCACCCCCTCCCTTCTCTCAAGGGAACATTCATGACCACAGTCACACCTTTTTGTTTCCACTGAAGTTAAAATCCTTTTTATTCAGGTTTTTGCAGATATTCACTTATCAACTATTTTTGACAATGTGAGTTAGAAACAGGACATTAATAGCAAGAAGCCACATCAATTAAATGTACTCTTGAGGTTATAGCTGAGATTTATTGAAAATTTTATGTAAATATTCAATTTACAGATTGGAATAATGGCTGACTTTAGTATTTGCCGTGTTGTATTTTATGAGTTTATTAATGTGACGAGTAGCTCCAGCACTGCTGCTAATGGACGTTGGGGTGTGGGCTCACTAGACTGCAGCAGTTCTACAGGCATATGAAGGGTCGAGCAGTCAAGCAGGCTGTTTGGGTGAGAGTAATGCTGTTACCTCAGAAAATGTTAAAATACCTTGTAACCTGGGGTTATGCAAATACTGGTAATTGCTGTAGAAATATTTTAGCAGCTTAAAATACAGTATATATGCAAGCTTGGGTGTTGTTTTTCTTTAATCCCTGTGAAGGATGGTGGAAAGGAATGAAGCAGTTTCTCCCAACAAAGTCAGCAGAACAGGAAGAAACGCCTGTACGCTACAGCAGCAGTGAAATAAGTCACCTAAGACCAAGAGAAGTCCCAACGATACTGCAAACAGAGTCTGCAGGTACATTTTACTGGTTTTGCAGGCCAGGAAACAAATAACTAACTAGACATGCTAAAAAATGTCAGAAACTGGCTACATTTAATTATTTCCCATTTGTTTGGGGAAACAGAGGAAAAATGAGTAGTTCTGTTGGTAAGCACACTTAAAATGCAGGCTTTTTCAAAGCTGTTTGGATTAATTGACTTGAAGTGTTGTAAATAACACTTTCTCAAGTTAATGCAGTTATTTTACCTGTATTTGCTCTTAAGCCCCATAAAGGGTTGGAGGATATTTTTCATGCACTGGAAGCAATTTCACCTCATTATTTTTATGCATACATTTGAATGTGGCACTTGGTTCCCTACACCTATTGTATGGCTTATATAATTCTTTTGATCTAGAAAAGGAGGAGTTCCTGATAATGGCATGTGCCCTTCCCCTGGTGAACCAGTCATTAGGGGAAGATGAATGACACTGCCATTGGTTCTGTGCTTACATACTGATGGTGGCAGTGTGCAGGCATGCGGGAGTTATGGCTTCATGGCAGGGAGAATTACATAGAATCATAGAATAGTTAGGGTTGGAAAGGACCTTAAGATCATCAAGTTCCAACCCCCCTGCCATGGGCAGGGACACCTCGCACTAAACCATCTCACCCAGGACTCCATCCAACCTGGCCTTGAACACTGCCAGGGATGGAGCACTCCCAACTTCCCTGGGCAACCCATTCCAGTGCCTCACCACCCTCACAGTAAAGAATTTCTTCCTTATATCCAATCTAAACTTCCCCTGTTTAAGTCTGAACCTGTTACCCCTTGTCCTGTCACTACAGTCCCTAATGAAGAGTCCATTCCTCTTTCTGTGTGATCTGTTTTTACACAGCTAGTGGGTTTCTCACTTTTCTTCAAAAAGATGACTTTGTTTTGAAACAGATTTACAGCATGGGAAATTGCAGCTCACAAGGGAAGAAGTGTAACCTGAGAAATTGGGATATTGCGGCTGTCCCCAGTAGCTTTATCTATTGGGTGAAATGATTCCTTTTTTCCAAAGTAGTTACCACTGGCAGACAGACGGATCACTGACTGGATCTAAGATAACAATGTCTGTGATGCTAGTGACTGATAGGTTGTATTTAATGTAATGTCACTGCAAAAAAATAATTCCTTTAAGTGTGTTTTTATTTTGTTTTGCTGGGGTTTGCAACACAGAGTATGCTCAGCCACTGGTAGGGGGACTTGTTGGCACGCTTCATCAGAGATCCACCTTTAAACCAGAGGAAGGAAAAGAAGCAAGTTATGCTGATTTGGACCCTTACAGTTCACCCATCCAGGAAGTTTATCATGCCTATGCTGAACCACTACCTATAACTGGACCAGAATATGCAACTCCCATTATCATGGACATGTCCAGCCATCCCAACGTACCTCTTGGCATTCCTTCCATTTCCACCTTCAAAACTGCAGGGAATCAAGCTCCTCCACTGGTTGGAACTTGCAATAAACTCTTATCTAGGACAGACAGCACATCCTCAGCACAGGCGCTGTATGATACACCCAAGGGGCAACCAGCGCCAGGTACCACTGATGAATTGGTGTACCAGGTACCACAGAGTGTGGCCCATGCCACTGGGAGTAAGGATGAACTCAGCTCATGAGTAAGGTAGAATGATGGCTTGCTTTTAAAAGCCAATTCCATAAAGCTGACAGTTACACTTTTTAATTGCATTGTTTTGATTTTGTTAGTCTTAATACAATGCTGAACCAAAAGATGTGATACTCAAGGTCAGGAAAGCTGGTAATCCTGCCTTTCCTGAAGCTGTACGTATAATTAATAGCTTGTCTCCTGTAAAACCATGGACAGTTTTATTACTACTGTACAATTGTCTGTCAGACATGAGAGAAGAACTCTTCAAGATTAGCTTCAGTAATTGATAGATGTGAATGATAAATTGGGAGAAACAGTTTAAAGTACAAAAGCCAGTAATTTCTTGCTAATGGTACTGTGGAGGGGCGGGGGAGTTGATGGGACCAAAACCCAAAGCTTCTAACTTTCTAAGAGCTATATGTAAGCACTGTAGTGTCTAAAATTCATTTTACTTTATTTAATGCCTGTACAACCTTGGACTTCAAAAATTACTGTCAGGACTGATGGCAAAAATCCTATTAACTTCATGGCGTAACAAGGGTTTGATTCTGAATTAAGTTATTTCAGCTTTTGTTCACAGGATTAGGAATCATCAACCGCATGTTCCTCAGAAGGTTCCCACCATTTTCATTCACCTTCCAGAACTAGAACCTGCTGCCTCTACAATCTGTTTTCTGCCTCATCTCCTTAAGCCCCTCAGTCTTGTTCCTTCCTAGGGAGCCAGGAGACATAAAACCATACAAGCAAACTGCATGGCAACTGCTTTTACATTTTTCTACTAAGTAAAGGCTACTCTGAATAGTGTCTGCCTCGAATTTAGGCTTCCCCGAGGGTCAGTGTGACAGAGGTGTTTGGGGTGACCAAATTTATAAAGGTTCCCTCTGTCCCCCAGTCTGCCTGCGCCAGAGTATGTGTTTCTGTGTGTTAAGATGTGAGCTTATATACAAAGAAAGATATGTATATAGTTTTGTGAGTGCTTAAGGAAGCACGCAAATATTCTAATGATGCACAGTTTGTGTTGTCATACACACATTTAGCACATATGGTATGTTTTACCACAACTGAAAAACTTTAGCCTTAGGGCTTGTCTTACGATTATTCTTATTAGAAGTATAAAAGATTCCAAAACATTTACAGAAGAACCAGTACTGTTCCAAAGAGGGTCTGTCCATTTCAAAAGCATTACATGGAATTTGTATCCTTTGAATATTCTCTGCTATGAAAATTTGGGGTCAGTCTTCCATTTGGGGTAACTAGTTTTAGCTGGGTAATCATGAAAAGAAAACAATTTGAATGTCGTATTTGCCATTTTTTATCTTGTTAGAAACAAAGCACAGCTTTTGAACCTAAGTAGTAGGAAAAAACCCACCATAAAAATGCTTTATTTTTATGGTAACAGCACAGTTGGGAGGATGCTGAATTAATTTATCATGCGAAACCCCCGACATACACATCAGCCCAGTTTTATGGACTCAGTGATTACTCTTCGTTTCTGTACAGTAATTCAAGTCAGCCTTACTTAACACCCTGGGTCCTTAAGTCAGGTGGAGAAGAATCAAATCAAAACTCAGCTACTGTTCAAGAAGGCTGCCACCATTGTCTTACACCAGTACGGTATCCTACCTTATCACTTAAAGATTTGGTTGCATAGAAGCTATTATGTAAACTCAGAAATCCAAAATTACTTGTTGCCTGTTATTAACACCTAGAATGTGTTACTACATACTCTGTGTTGCCTTAAAGCCTAATTCTACAATTCTTTGATCATTCTCATTCATTGAGAATTATTTTCTGTTTGTTTGTTTAGAATTGGGTGTCTTAAGCCTAAATGTGAATGTAAGTAAGGGTGGTATATTGGACCCATTCATGAAAAAGCAATTCCTTCCTAGGAATTTGTATTTTGATGATAGCACAACTTTTTCTGCTTGATAGTGCTAGTCTGCAATCTTTCTTTGTCATCTTGCCTAAACAGGTAAGTAAGTGTTCTTGTCCATCAGCAGCAACTATGACTTTGAAATTATCTGAGCTGATTTTATTTGAAAGGTGTGACATATTCCATTCAAGTTAAGAAAGCATTGCATTTTCAAAACGTACCAGGCTTAGGAACGTTAATCTACCATAAAAATAAATGGATGTGTTTAAGTCAGTAAATAAATAACGCTCTTGGATTTAGTATTTTCTGTAGGCCAGGTACAGTAGAACTGTGGATATACTGTAGGCTAAGATGGTGTCAGAATTGAACAGTTTATCTACAGGGGCTTATTTTATGAACAACCATAATGCAGTTTCATTATCTGGGCAGCATGAGCTGTTAACAGGAATGGGTGTTCTTAAGAATTTAAGTCCCTTTTTTGAAAGAAATTGGTCCCAAGCTTTGCTCCCTGCTGTCAGCTTTGAAAATGTTACCTGCTAGGGTTAACCAACTTTGACTGTGTAATGCCACATACTGTAAACACTGGTTCACAAATGTAAGTTGTGTGACACATTTCAGATTAGACTTCTCCTGTGTACAATACAAGCAGAGGTGCATTTAATGGGTCTCTTTTTTACATGTGAAGACGTGGATATCAAATGTATGTCAATTTTGTTTGGCTTGAGTATTCTCCCAGAATGTATGTTCTTACCTCAGCATGTATTGTAGTTGCTCAGGATTTGTATATGTTGCTAGAATTTAGACTGTATAAATAGTGAGGGGGTTTTATATGTATGTTAAAAAGTATTTTAAATAAATTGTACATACGTATTACTTGGTATGTTTGCATTTAACACCCACCCTGTATCTAAATCACTTGTATTTTGGAAATGCAAGGGTAATTTATGAGTTACCATATTACAATAGGGTTTATGCCCTGCCCCCAAGAGTGACCTTATACCATTTCCTGTCAGCCATCCACAGAGGATGTGCTGATCCCTGCTTCATCTGCCTGAGGATTAAAAGCAATAAACTGACACTTATCAGAGCCCTCCTGCGGGCTGGAGTCTGCTGCAGGGGCAAGTGGTATTGACAGGAGAGAGCTTCCCTGGCATTGCCTGCTGCAAGCAGAATGTCAGGTCTGGACTGCTGTGTGACAAGAGGCTGAGACACAGCACAGGCAGCTGTCCTCATGTCAATGTAATGAGAAAGTTGGGCTCCTGTCCAACATAACCCATTGCTTAAAATGCAGACTTCCCTGCCCCCCAGTCAGCACAGCACCAGTAGAGGGACTGCTAGCTGATTCTTCAACAGAGCAGGGCTACTTCCCAGTTACTGAAAAGAAGCTGCTTTTGCTTGCAAAGCTTTCCCCTGCTTGATCTTAATTCTAGTACTGCTAAATGGCTTAGTCCTCTGCTTGTCAAAAAAGCTTGTCAAACAAATGTAATATTACAAACAGACATGTCCAGAAAATGTGTGCCAGTGTGCCTGCAAGCATCCCTGCTTTAGCTGACCAGTGCTCCAGATGGACTGTTGTCAAGTGGAACAGCCAGCTGTGTAACACTTGCTGCTTCCTGTTCTGTCTCTGCATCTTGCTAAACATATATTGTGAGTGAAATGCAGCTTAGCTGAAATAGTGCTGCTTGGGCTGGCCACCTTTCTGTTTTCCACATCACAGGTGAGGGAGGGGAGTTAAAAACCAACTGAAGCAAAACTATCTAGATTTCTGAAAATCTTTAAAAAGCGTGAACCACCCTTCTTTTACACACCTTAGTGTGCATAAAAGTCTCCTGCCATACTATTTTTTATTACTTTCCCACAGATTTTGTACAAAAATAGTGAAAGACCATGAGAAATGCTTAAGTTAAAAGTATTCTGTTCACTACACAAATACCACATTATTTCTACAAAGAAAAGTTCCTGAAAAAATTTTTGTGTTAATAAATGAAATTTGTCCTTCACCCTAAAAGTAAGTGTTCAGCATTTGTATTGTTTGTGTTCTGTTCTGAAATATAACATAACATACCTACTTAACACTTATAGTAAACTCTCTTCTCCAGTACTGGGCGACCACAGCTGTCTCATTGCAAGCTTGAAGAAACTCCTGCTCTGCTAAGACACATCAGATGTCTAAGACTTCAAAGGAATGCATACTTAGAATGGGTGATGCTGACCTGTGAGGACACTAGCACTAAAGAATTTTACCGTATACAGTAGTACAGTGAAAGTCACCTTTAGAAATTTTCTGTGCAAATTTTTCCTTAGATAAGTCTTAAAACAGTTATGGATAGTGTAATCAAGTATACCATGGTTCAGCTTTGAGACGCACAACAATCACTTTCATGAAACCAAATCATCAGTAACCAAATTCTGATTTTAAAATGACATACAAAGCTTGAAGCTGATGTCAGTTTTCGGCACAGCCAGAAGTTTATACCAAAAACTGTCTCTGCTGTCATGTAAAATGGAAAGAAACACTATTGTTTTGCATATGACACTGGAAGAAAGATTCCTACTTACATTCACATTTAAATGGCAGAAGACTAGAACAGCTTTTAAGTGTAGAATCTGCATGCTGAACGTACCTAGAGTAACTACACAAATGGCTCGATGGTCAAATTACAGTAGAATCACAGTCCACCTTAATAGTGTTGTGATTCTTTTGGCTTTTTTACCTTTGTAAGTAGCTTTAAGCAAGACAAAGTCTAAAAAAGTCAGGATGCAACTGAAGGAAGTGGAAATCCACAGGTCAGGTTTCACACTAATACAATGCCACAATATATAAAAATTATTTATAGACTATTATAAAATTTTACATTATTTTTGCAGTTCACTTGCCTTGCTCCTCAACATGCTGCAGCTTCACAGGGTTTTGGCACCAACGGTCAGAGTGCCAGAATCCATTTTGCTCAGGAAGGCTCCTTCATATGAACTATTCTACTACTTTAGTCTTTCTGAAACAAAGGAAAAAAAACAACCTTGGATTTTACTAGTAAAACAGAATCCATGCTTTATGCATCAAACATCTGATACACATCTAAACCAGTTGATACAAAGGTATGGACAGCTAATTAAAATATTCCCTTTCAGTCGCAGAAGGAGGTCTATCTCAGGCCATTCTGTAGTTTTACTTTATAACCTCTCAGAAGTAGATTCAAAAATACGGTCTGTATTGCTGTGCCTTCAGGAACTGCATGAAGATGATTTTTTTGTCTGTATCAAAAAAAAACCCAAAGGCAGCCTTGTAACTGAAAACAATGCTTTGTCACTTTACCCAGCTCTGAGGTAGACCATACCACTTATTTACTTGCATGTTTAATTACTTGCATGTTTAATTACTATAAGAAGAAATTGCCAAAAAGTAGGATCTGGTAATGAAATTAAGCTAATGCCCTTGTAAGGAAGAATGGTCAGACTTTTGTTTTAGTATCTTACCTGGAAAGCAGGATGCCCAGCAGCACAACTGCCTACTACTGCTGTGGCTTACTGGTACTTCCACAGTTAGTAGTGACCCATTCTCTGTGTCTGGAAACTGCCAGAACCCTGTTGTAGCATCTCCAGGCACAGGGAACACAAGGTGGGCTGTGCCACACTGCCTGGTCACCTTCCAGGACCAAAACAGGCACTCGGCACCACCACACACTCACTCAGGGAATCATGCAAAAGGTTTCATTTGCTACCACAAGAAGTTTCAGCAGTATAAAACCCACTACCTGTAATCAGTGGAAGATCTTGCACCAGTGATTACTTCATTTCACATCAAGCTAAAAAACAACTTTCAGCATTCATCTTACACTGCCTCTTGCACACTGGGAATTACTTTCTTATGGTTGCTACAAGTTCTTGCATTTTTTTTTCTGTTGTATCTGTAGAAGCATCGTTGCTGCTGTACACAATATTATAACACAGGTGTTAGTTCCCCCTGTAGAGGAGAAACTGCCTGTGGATGGAGCTTTTGTGTGGAAAAACTGTTAACTGATGGAAGTATTTTGCTGTGAAAGGACATTAGCTCTTAACATGTAAGATACCAAGATCTAATACATACAAAATATTCTCCAAGTATAAACACTTCAAAGAATGAAAACTAGAGCATGTGGAGAATTAGAGCTATTCTTTCCTAGAAAGTAGCTGAGGTTTCTGTTTTTCCAGAAATCCCTGACTATGAGAAAGCAAACCAGACACCTGAGCTGTTTCTCAGCATGAGCAGTCGTGATTCCACATTATTTTGCTTACATGGTATACATTCATGTATATCATGTTTCTTATGAATCTGCTCAGGAGAGGAGAGCAGGTGCAAAAAGGTTCAGTGGAACAACTGTCACAGTGCACAGTGTGACAGTTTTGAAAAGCTGGTCACGGTCCCTGGCCTGTCAATGACAGCAAGATTTCGCAGGCCTGTTTTCAGTGGAGGTTTGTAAGATGTAATTGTTTAAAGGGTAAACCTCATTTAAACAGTTAAATGACATTCCTTAGTTGCCAAAGTCATGTAAAGCTATCTGGCTTGCCTTTCATGAACTAAAAAGACAAGAGTTTTTGATGGCAATTATTAGGAACAAATAAGGAATGGCTACAAAGAAAACAGAGCAGACGGAATTTCAAATAATGAGGACCTTAACGTAGCAGGTTTTGTAGTTTAAGAAAATCAAAAGGCAGACAAGTTTCACACATACCTCTAAGAGGCAATAAAGTCATTAAGAGCCTGAGCAAATAAACCCAAAAGGGCAGTAATATTTTATACTCCCTCATACTTCAAAGGAAGCAAAAAACGAACCTTACTTTTTAACAGTCATCTCTGCCCATAATGAACTCAATGTAAAGGAAAAATGAAAATTGGACAAACCACTGAAAAACTCCTCAGTACAAGTAAAAGACCTTAAAACTGGTGTGGACCTTCGTACAAAACACACTATAAAGAAACTGACCAGAAAGAATAAGAACAAAGGCCTTTTACAATTATCTATGATTATCTGCATTTCAAATTCTACCATTCAAGCTAAGAAAGGGTGTGACAGAGACAACAGGCTCCATGCAGAGGAGCAGACAGGTACCACCACAGCACAGGTATGGCAGAGACTTTTCCTACAGGCTAGAGGGTGTGAAACCCAGGCAGCACTAAAACCAAGCCTAATAACTAAACTGAATCCTGACACACCACAAGAACACATGGGATTTATCAAGTCTACTTGTTTTGTCTGAACTTATGATTCTCTCCTCTTTAAGTTACTCTATTTATTTTTAATTGGAAAGCTTTTCTGCTCACTGCAAGTAGAGGTCCAGTGAAATCTATCACAAAGCCCCACCCCACAGTGAATCCTATCATAAAGCTATAGAATTTCCATGGGAATTGAAACAGGAACTTACAATTTACAGTCCCTGCAGTCTAGCAGATAACAGTGCCAGACAAACAGGAGTACATACAGATGTGAAAGTAGTACCTGTCTTAACTGGCATTTGATGTATTGTTCAATCTCATAACACGGAAATGAAAATGTCTGATTCACAGGAATCTTGCTGAGATTCAGGATTTGTTTTTAGCTCCTTCTGTGAACCCAAAGTAATATTCTATATCAGAAACAACAGCACTGTAAAACACACACACAAAAATAAACTCATCTGTGTATGTAAAACAGCGATCATAGAATATACTCAAGATTCATTCAGGATTGCATTTGCAGAACAAAAATTAGGATATTCTCCAGACTGAAATACAATACTGCAAACAAGCCTCTGCTTTATTTTTTTTCTTCAGGTTTTACAATGACAATTTTGGAACAAAAACCAAAAGGGGCAAAGACAATTAAATACCAAAGGACGTCCCTAAGCGTAATATAAAATATTAAAAGGTAATTTACTCCAGTGTCTCCTTCTGCCCAAGAAGACTGATTCACTGGGAGCAAAAATTTGCATATTTCAGTAAACCTCAAATAAATTTTTGTAACTTGAGGAGATTTCCCAGCCACAGTTTAATGCAACAGAAAAGCACTGTACTCGTCCAAGAACTCTTTAATGTAAAAAGGCAGCCAGAACAGGGTTTGCAGCTCTCAACTCATGTAAGAGCATTTTAGCTACAATTCCGGAAAGTCATCTTCCTTCAGACAAGCAAGCAAAAAGACCTCATGTTAACTGTCCTCAAAAAGTTTCTCAGCATCCTGTCTTAAGTCATACCTGGCACCATACACACCACAAAAATAAGCATGCACCATACGCTTAAAATATTCCATATTTGATCATACTGGATTAAACTGTCTTAAAACTATTCAAGACACAAAAATATTTCAGAGATTCTGACACTAATAATAGTTCTTTAGTCACTAGTGAAGAGCAGTTTTCCAGATACCAGAAGAGTCTGTCAATATAACACACTAAAAGCAAGCTCCCCCCTCCCCTCCTCCTGCATCCATGAAGTTTCTGAGGTTTCAAATAAGTGACATTTCTGATGACGACATCATAGAATCATAGAATAGAATCATGGAATAGTTAGGGTTGGAAAGGACCTTAAGATCATCAAGTTCCAACCCCCCTGCCGTGGGCAGGGACACCTCACGCTAAATCGTATCACCCAAGGCCGCGTCCAGCCTGGTCTTGAACACTGCCAGGGATGGAGCATTCACAACCTCCCTGGGCAACCCATTCCAGTGCCTCACCACCCTAACAGGAAAGAATTTCCTCCTTATATCCAACCTAAACTTCCCCTGTTTAAGTTTTAACCCATTACCCCTTGTCCTGTCACTACAGTCCCTAATGAAGAGTACCTCTCTAGCATCCCTATAGGCCCCCTTCAGATACTGGAAGGCTGCTATGAGGTCTCCACGCAGCCTTCTCTTCTCCAGGCTGAACAGCCCCAACTTCCTCAGCCTGTCCTCTCTCCCCACATCAGCCGGATCCCCAACATAATGTCAGGTCCCAGTTTTGCAACTAGGTTAATGCAGGACAGCATCCATATTAATTTTGGTGGGGCAAGGTCCAGCACACTGCTGGAGTAATTAGGTCTCGGAATCTGCCCAGACAATGTACGGGCAGGGGCTGAACTTAACAGCAGGCTTTGTTGTAACATCCACAAAGGATTTTGTGTGTGGTTTTGTTCTTTCTGGGTTTTTTAACCCTGCTTGCTAGATCCTGGTTGGTTATTATCATCACTCCTTCTTCTGTACCTATTTAACCATCAGTCCTGCCATTACTAGCCTGGACAGCCAGCTGCATAACATATTATTTTACATTCCTAGAGGTATTTATAAGCATGTATTACATAGCTGTAATAAACAGTGGGGCACTTGGTGAACACCAAACACTTAAATTACTCCTCCAGCACCATGGACTTCCAGAATTTTCAGAGCTGTCTTCCAACCCAGTTTTTTGGTAATCAAAGCAAACCACAATGAAGTGTCATTTTGACAGCTATCTTCATTTCCCAAAATTAAATGGGATCAAAATCCAATACTTTGATGTAAAGGAAAAAAACTTCAACATCTTAACAAAACTTCATTTCCTAACAGCAGATTAAAACCAAAGATACTTCAATTATGTTTTCATGGCAAAATAGAAATAATTTATGCTTCTACGCATATTTTATAGCATCTTTTTCAACACAGCAGGGGAAGATGAAACCATGTACACAAAGAACTGGTCTCTTACATAAAGCAAACAAAAAACAATGCTGATCATTAAACCAAACTTCTCTCATAAAACTAGACCACTGGCAGTACTCCCACTCCAAACAGTGGCAGATACTAAATTTGTCAGTATCAAGAAACTGATACCATTACTCATTCCTTTAACATTTTTTGCATCTGTATCACATTTTAAACTCATAATGAAACAGCCACGTGATATCCAGTACTAATAAAGCTGCCGCAAAAATGAGTTCCCACTGAGTTGACTTCAAAGACCAACTTGAAATACAACTATATTACTATTTTCAAAACTTATACATACTTCCAAATCTTTTTATAAGGCATGTGTATGCTTTGGTTAGCATTAAATAATTCCAATAATATTTTTTTTATAAGTCATGACACCAGCCCTCTAATACATTTTAAAAAATATACTCCCATACTCTCACAGCTGTAGAGATGATGCTATCAACTTTTCATCTTCTGGAATGCCCGCAGACTTTGGACACTAAGAGATTCTAATATATATTGGTATAGCGAATCATTTATTGGTATAGCTTATCTTTTCCCTTAACACCTATCTATCTGTGCATTTGAGACACTTATTTTTTGGTCAGTCTCCACCACCAATGACTTCTCTGATTTATCAGTCTGCAGGATCGGTGCCTAACAGTCCAAATGACTAGGTCCAGCTCTGTACCAGTTGAATCCTCCTCCACAAATGAGTTTAAAAAATCTCTCTAGAGATGAATGCCTTTGTCAGTTTAAAAAGAGAGGGGGTATGAGGAAGCTGCTTTCCTGTGAGAACAACACTATTATACTTTAAGGTGGGTGTTTTTAGGAAAAATTATCTAGTTACGAAATGTCAGATTTCTGCAGGATCTTGGATGCAGGACTTCTCAGAGCTGGCAGTCCGACACGTAAGAGTTCTGAGGAGCTGTATACACAATTTTGCACAATTTCAACAAGTTTTTTTCCTCTTTCATTTTTCATTGTAAGATATATTTGACAAATTCACTATTTTCAAGTTCTGAAATTCAAACATTAATATTTTCAGATCTTCATTCCTATAGTTAAAAAAAATGCTTACATGGCATTCCTCTTTGCTTGACTTCAGATGTTGAGTATAACCCCAGATGATTCGCATGTCTTCTAATGAAGAATCTTCATCTAGAACCAAACAGAAATTTAACAATTAAAAAAAAGTTAATTTTCTTTACCTGATCATTTACCTACAAACACATGCATGAAGAATGTATTTACAGTACTTGTTCATAGAGTTACACTTAGCTATATGCAGTTCTGTATCAAGATAGTATTATGAAGTTTTGCATAACAAAAACAAGCTGTGTATCTCTTATCACTTGGTGAAAAACAGCACATGAAACAGCATTTTTTTTTTTGTACAAACCAATTATATAAAAATACCACTGTTTTAACTGGGTTTTCTCTGGTACACCTGCAACCAGTTTTGCCATGAAATGAAGTTCATTTCTTCATAGCACTGACACCCCCTTGGAAATCAAAGAAGTGGATTCTATTACCAGCTATTTTGAGGCTAATTAGCAAAGAAAGACCTTGATTGTACAATCTAAATATGCAACAGTAAATACTTAAGAAAAAACCCTACTGAGTCATATGTTAAGCCTGAATTCTGAGGTTATTTCAGCTTTAAGCAATAAAATTTTTGCCTATATGTCCAGTGAGGTATTATTCAGCCCAGAATTTATTCCAAAAAGCATTTTACATTTATATTAAGTATTATTACAACACATTACTGCACATCTTTTTAATAACGTAACTATTTTCAGATGAAACCTGTATCCAAAAGGCCTCATAAAAATGTGAACCATTGACTTCCTGTCTTTTTTACTAGAGAAGGGAAGTGCTAATGCCTGGTAAATGCCAGGATCAATCTAGCATTTTCCTCTCAGACACTTTATGAATCAGTGAGGATCACACATTACGTGTGAACTGAACTGGAGGGAAGCTTATGTTTTTTAGGCTTGCAAAATGGAATTATTTCCCTAATTCAGTTCTACAAAAGAATAAATTGTGTTCAAATGTGCCTCTTCCATATAAAGGCATCCAAACCAGCTGAAATTGATGCAGACACGTTGACAGTGATGTAAATCTCAACCTGGAAAAGATCAGACAGGGTGCATCAACTAGGATGCATTTGTCACATCATATCACCTTGTGTTAGCTTTTTGTTTTGTTTTGTTTTGTTTTCAGTTTCCTAGTTCATGGGTGGCACTGGCAGAGAGTACTGGACTAGATGGACCCATTCAAGGCTAGGTTCATGTATGTTAACAGTTTTGCCCAGTGTCACCTGTGATCTGGGACTCTGGTCTTGATTTTGCAGTGACTGTGTGCACACAGAAGGCCCAAAACCCCCCTGTTTTCTGACCATACTAACAAATGCAAAAAGAAATAAAATGAAACTATACTCTGTTTACTCAGATGCAGCACTGAAGCAGGTTTGATGCAACACTAGGGTCACTTCTAAGGCTACGACTACCAGATTCCTGCACGGGAGACCTGCGAGCCCTGTACATACGTGCAAAGTGTTTAGCATCTTACAAGCGCTCTACAGCACGTTCAGCCCACGCCCAGCTGCCAATCGCGCAGGCAAAGGTAACATGCAGAAAGCACCACCAAAAGCACCAGCTTCAAAGCGCGCTTTCTGCATTCAGTTTGAGGCGGCAGCGCTTTCACAAATCGACGCCCCTAGAAAAGCCCACAGGAACTACGTTAAGGCCCTGGTGCTCAGCAGCTGCGAGCACCAGCCGGCCCCGGCCCGGCTGCACACACAGCTCAACCCTTCACCTGGGGATGGCGGCCGGCGGCACCGTCCCCTCGCCTCAGCCCGGCCCGGCCCGGCCCGGCGGAGCACAAGGGTCCCGCGCAGCCCCGCACCGCCCGTTACCGCTCCACACGACGATCACACGCTCCACCAACGAGCCCCACCCGTCCGAGGTACGCTGCCCCGCGGCCGTTGCCATGCAAGGCAAGTCCCGCCCTACCTCCAGCTCCTCAGGGCCCCATTGGCTGCAAAGAGCAACGCTCCTTCCGCCCGCTGCTCACCGATGGGCTCAGCTCCCCGCCTATCAGCACAAAAGCCAGGCTCCTGGCGGCGGGGCCGCGGCTGCGTCCCGCAGCTGGGCGGGCAGGGCATGGCCAGTTAACCAAAATAGACGCTCTGGTAAAACCGGCGAGAAGCAGGAGGGTGGCAGTAGACCCGACTGCCGGAAATGTGGCCGGGTTGTGCCAGAGGCACTAGCAACAGACAATCTGCAACTCACCGCTGACAGGCGGCAGCTGCAAGACACCCTGCTCCCTGCGGCGGTAACGGCCAGCCGTACCTCAGAGGAACGGAACGAATGCCACTTGCCCACAGCTCCTGCATTTAAGTCTTTAATCTGACAAAACCTACCTTGCAGGGAGGGACTAAAAAGATCCCAGTCTTTCCCACTGTGATGTCCGTCCCATTTAAGAAAGTGTAAGTTTTGGACAAGGCCAGCATCAACAAAATACCGTGTTTCCGAGTACGAGAGCAAGTGTTCTAGTACAGTGAAGTCTGAAGACCAAATACACTGAAGACTTGAATATGTAAGAATTGCCTTTTCCCATCAATTTCTAAGGAAATCGTGCTCTGCCTGCCTCTACGTCCCCCACAGTAACTTCTGAGTAACGTCTGGCTGAGGAAAACCTGCCAACCTGCCAATAATGTTACAAGTTTTATGAAACCAGAAGTGAACAAGAGAGAGTGCGGACAATGCTACAAACACACAGCTTAGGCTACCTACGTATAAGCCTCCTTGCTTAAGATCTGCTGGTCCACAAAAGAGATAAAGCCCAGGATCCAAAGTGGGGACAACTCCATTAACTTTGGTGTACTCCTGAAACTTTAAAATTATACCCCCGCCTGTAGGAAGGGCACATTCCCCCCCCCCCCCCCCCCCCCACTGATTTGAAGCCACTATAGGAAATAACCTTTCAACAGCTGAGAACACTTGAAATTACAGTTGACACGTTCATTTATTTGTATGACATGTCTACTATCACCTGTTAAGTAGGTAACAGAATTCCTGACAAGACAGTTTCAAGGCAAATCCAAATTAAAAAACTTAGCCTATTTACTTAAGCTGTATAATGTGAGACATTCCATTTAAATCAACTTTCTCTCCCTCCACACCCCCCACCCCCCCTCCAACCCTAAAATGATGAAAATGCCCAGCAGGCTTGTGTTCCATCTTCACATTTTCTTACCTCCTTTTGAAAAGCAACTCTTGACCTTTTTAGCTAAGACTTGGCTTTCCACTAGTTGCCTGGGGTGAAGTTATGAACTTATAAATCTGAATGATAAATTCCTCAAGCTACAGCCTAAAACCCATTGGCACAATTACAGTTTATACATTTGTTAAGCAATTCTTGCATTTAATTCACTTCATCAGTTAACAAAAATATGCAGAGATAAAATCCTATCCATAGCTTTAGCTCAACTTATCTCACCACCTTTGTTCACGATCAGTGCCTTCTTTTATGATTAACTGCAAAGCCAGAAGTGGCAGAGCATGAAGAATGCTTGTTCAAAGACTTTGTGATCACTGCTCAATCTCACATGAGCACTGGCAACAGTGAGCTTAAAACATGGGAATCTGACTGTAAGCGCTGGATTTTTTTTTTTTTTTTCTTTACTAAACTCAGCAAATAAAACCCTGTGCTTTGTTTTGCTCAGTCAAAACAGCCATGGCTGGCTCCAAAATTCCATGTGAAACCCACTGGTGTTTGTCAGTCCTGGGTTCTAATGGCCAACCTCCAGCCATGGTTTATGAGTCATCAGAAGACAACACAATGAAAGATTTTAGATGCAGAAACCCATCTGCTTTATAGGCTTCTAATTCTTGCAAGGTTTAGCTGATGACTCCCTGATTATTCTTTTATTTTTGCTTTTTAGTGACTTTAACTTAAAGTAACACTGCAGCAGCCAAAGCAACACACTGAGCAGAGGACCAAGGTAAGATCTGAAGCAAGGGCCCTCTTTCACAAAGTGACTGTACTTCAAAAGTCACTTACTGCTGAAATTCTGTTTGTAAATAAAATTCACAGGATCTGAACCAAGACAGATCAGCAAAAGCACTTGTGCCACCACCTGATTTCCCCATGGGCTGCTTTTCTTGTGACCGTATCTCATTTTGTCTGCTTCCAAAACAGACAAACTGCACACGGCACTACCCCAGTTCTTCCTGCTCCCTTACTTTTCTACACTTCCAGTTTAACTCTGCAGGCAACTCAGACCACTACATAGGTTGCAAGCAAGCACAAAGACGTCCTGGCAGGGGTAGCAAACTCCTTCTGGATGTCCCCCACACCTGGATGGCACAACGCAGGCCAGCAAACACTAGCCCATGCGGAAACTGCAACCAAATTACACAACTGCAAAACACCTTGCCACCCACCAGGATGAAGCACTGCTAGTGCCCTTCCTGAGCATCCAGCATTAAATCACTGCTTTGCCCAGCACTGGGGGACACGGTTCCCTTGTTCTCGATTTCTCGGCACATGCACTGCAGGGAGGAGTGTTGTTAACTGCAGATGTTATTATTGTCCTGAGCTGTTGTGAAGCCTCTCTGCACTGTCAAATAGCTGCCACATTTCACTTCAGAGGCAAGTGACAGTGGCTCAGTACACATTCCCCAGATGTTAACTTGTTATGACAACTGGGGCTATGGGCAGATACTACTTCCTCCCTTTTTAATTTAACCATTCTGGTTTGACACATTTCTTTTTCCAGTGTTTTCAGGTTCACTGTCACTAATAATACAGTCCATAGAAAGCCCAGGGATTCATATGAGTTATTTGAGAAACCTCAGGAACTTTTAACCCCATCTTAAACCCAGTATTATAACTGTGTTAACAAAGCTGTTAATGGAACAAACTGTTCATTACACAACATCATGGAGAAAAAGGCAAATAACTTTGGGTAGCTGGATCTGACACAGCAGAAAACCTCATTTTTTTCACAACTTTGTTTCAGTTTGAAAGGGATCATTTTAGGCACTTTAATGCAAAGAGACAATGGTAAAGTCTGTGGGAGTGTAACTAAATGGCATTTTTTCATCTTGTTTCATGCTATATGTTTGTCAACAGAGCACACAGTATATATGCAGTAGATACACAGATATTTTGATTACAGATGTCTGAAATAAAAGCTTTCCAGGGCATGAGCTGCCATTGTTCACCTATGGCAATTACCATTTGATATCATTTAAATATTGCCTCTACTTGCACTGGGCGGGTATCAGCCCAATTATCCTTCTCCTGTCCTGCTTGGCTATATGGGGAAAAGGAGAAAACTTTTTTCATGCACTCGCAAACATAAAAATCCAAACAAGCCCCACTCTTCCTGCCTGGCTTCCTATGGCCTGGGTAGAAAGCAGGACACATAGCAAACAATAAATGTTCCACAATTCCTCTTTTGCGAACAGGAGGCCACCAAAGCAAAGGCAGCTGCCCAAGGGACTCCCAGAGCATAACTAAGTTGTTCTTGGTATTGTAGGGAATAATGCAATTAGAGAGAATTGAGTCAAAACACCTTAGCTCGAAAACTATGCACCATAGTTCAGAGAGTGTGAACTTTCAATTGAAAACCAAGCAGTTTTTTTACTTAACTTGACTGCTCCCCAAAATCATATGGGTTTTCCAGACGCCATGTCAGGATGCACTGTCATCTTAAGCAGCTCAGCCAAATTCTTTTGCCCTGGTATCCAAGAGCAGAAGCAGCACTTTGCCCCTTTCACCATTCTCCCTCCTGGTGCAGTTACAGTTATTTTTTCAAACCAGCTCTGTCTCTCATACCATACTGCTCCAACTGAAGAAGACAGCATCTTCTTATCATGCAACAAGCAACTGCTTTCTCCTATTTTAGATCTAAACTTAAATCCAAACTTGTATGTAACCTCTCTTTACATTAACAAAACTTTCCAAGCTCTCCCTTCCCTGAAGTAAATTTTTGGTTTTACTTTTGTATCAGTTTGATTTCTCAAAAGAAGGAGAGAAAGCGTTTACACTGTAATGTGTTATTAAAATACAAGGCACCCCATCCAAACACTATTATTAATAACCTCCATGCAACACAGCTGTTTATATAAAACAGATGCAGCATGTAACCTATTTTTCCAGATTCTATAGGTCTGTGAGCATGCAAATCTCTTTCAGATGAAGGAGTCATCCTTTTCTTTTTAGATGAGATGACATAAGCAAATGTCTATGTTTAGAACATAGAAAAACCAACCAACACAGACAGATATGGCACGTATATGCATGAAACTGTAAACACTGAGGAATATTTGGAAAACTTCTGTAACTGAAGTGCTACTGAAATATCCTGTAACTCCTGCTTCACTTTTATGTCTCTCTATATAGATAAAGAATCCATTAATGAAATGCAATCCTAAATGAAGCTGACAAAAGTAGTACAACAGTTTTTGTTATTAACATACAGCACTCTCTTATACCTCCCTGTAATTTAGAAATGAGATTAACATAGCATGTAAGTTTTTCATAATGGATCTTTTCACCTTCAGATATTTTTGCCACTGTTAAAACTGAACTACAGAACTCTAGATGACAAAACACTGTCATCTTCAAAATTACAAATGGAAAAATGTATTAAAAAAACCAAAACAAACCACAGAAACTTACATAACATTTAGTTCACCTGTTTTAGTCCATATTTACCATGTAAATTTAGATTACTTCTACTAACAGGAATCCTTTGTCCAGTTTTCCGTTTATTAAATATAAATATATATATTTTATATATATATTTATATACATAAGAAAAAAAAACATAAAAATGTCCTTCTTTATCTGTTCTAGAAAAAAGATGGGGAAGAGAAAAAAACCCCACACTTTCTAGTACTTTAAGCATCCATTAATTTGAGTCCACCATACATAACACCCACTTCTGACATACATCCTTCTTTTTTTGAGTGAAGGAAATAGGCAAACTTCAAAGGGACTGAATATACAGCAATGATGCAATAGATGGCTTTAAGTAGCAGTAACAAAGGAAACAGCATTTTGCTTTGAAAGCAAAAAAGCATTTTTTTTTCAGTATTTTGCTATTTTCTGAAGTGCTGGCATCTGTAGGGAAGGGATTAAAAGACTTTAGTAATTCTGATATGCCAAAATAGTGTAAATAGTGACAATAAATCTTCTATGGCTTAGTGATGTAGCACTCACAGTGATGCTGTTGACCCACACTTCCGCACTTTCCAGGTACACCTCTTAATTTTTTTCAGCAATCTTAAACCCAGGCATCTTCGTACTGAATGGATAAGGCTACATATGTTGATCTCTCACAGAAAAAAGCACACTTACTATTGGTGGAAGTATGCTTGCTAGAGAAGCTAATTTAAAAATTCAATTTTGAAAGGTTTTACCAAAATCCTTTTTTTTTCTTTTGTACCGAAGATGCATAATCTTAATTCATAATATCCAATGTGTAAGGCAAAAGCAGTGCTGTGCCTAAGATGTAGTACTGGTCATGACACCCCATGTATTTTAAAAGCAATGTGTACCTCAGCAAAAGTGCAACATCTCTGGTTCCTTCATACCTCTGTTCTCCAAATCTTGGTATGTTTTCCCTGGTCAATTTGATCTAACAATTTCTTAATAAGCAGAATAGATGAATTCAAAGTCACACTGGATTTTGTCTAGAATCATGCCTCCTGCTGATATATCAGCAACTGACAAAAGGAAACAATCCCGACACATGCCACAGCAAAGAGCACAGCTTCTGCTATCATTCTGTTACGTTAGGCTGGTCCTCTTCTGTTTCAGCCCCTGCACAAGAGGTGGCAGCAGCAGTAGCGTAAAACAATCCAATAAACATTTCATATAGAATATTCCCCACAGTGGGCACTGAGGAGCACATCTACAACATTTTCTTGAAAAGGCAAGTTCATGCAAGCCCTGGCACAAGGGGCAGACCAGCCAACAGCATAGCCATAGCACTGGCACGAAAAGCACTGTACGGAGGTTGCTAAAACTTCTTTCCATGCTTCTGAGTAAGGCAGATTCCATCTGCTGGGAGCAGTTCATCTAAGGTGCTATTCCCGCTGCTCTGGTCTGGGCAGCATAATCCTGAATGATAAGGCAGAGTTACTCAGATTTAGCAACAGTAACTGCTACAGCTCAAGCAGCAGCTTCCAAGGACACTGTTCAGAGGGTACAAGAAAGATGTAAGATGTGTTTAAAGCTGTGGTAAGATGAAAAAGATGTTTGGCATTTATAAACAAAGGCTTTGATGATTTCAGGAATAACAGAAAGAAGATCTGTTTGAAGATATGTTTTTCCTGAGGAGGGGTTTGAAGACAATGCACATTTCAAGAGAACAGGTTCTTGCACAAACCTCTGGGAGATAATTGGCAAACTGTTAAGCACTACTTACTAGACTTTTCTAAACAGGATTCTTTTCTGGTAGACACTGACTCACTGAAATACATACATCATTATCCAGTCTTCTTTTACTAACATTTTTACTAGATACTTCATGAAGAATAAAATCAGTCACAATCACACTGTGACTTAACTTCTCAGATGACATAGCATTTCCTGAAAGGCAGTTTCTTGGAGGATTTAAAAGAAAAAAAAAAGGTGAAGAAAAAAACCCCACGAAACAACAAAAAACAGAGGTTCCTGTGGTCTGTTTGGAGCCAGAAATCCTAAATTCAGCTTTGGCAGCAACTCCCATCAGGGCTTTCCAGAGGGCTGCATGGGATTCCATTTTCAAAAGGACTTAAAAGTTTAGGAGCACGTCTCATTGTTAAAGTGATTTAGATTAATGAGCTGAAACATTGCGTCATGTGCTGCTTCATGCTCTGTTATGTCTAGCCCAGTGAGAAGTAGGGTTCTCCCACAACTCCTGACAGATTTAGATGTAAGGGTTTGAAATACTGGAACCTCGTTTCTTACGGCTTTCTGGTGGAGGTGACTAGCCCTGATCAGGAAAAGTAGATAACACTCACCAGCAGGTCAGCATAAACATTAATGAAGCAAGAGTGTATTAGCAGGCCAGGCTGTAAACTTCTGTTGCTCATGGCACAACTACGAATCAGAGATTAATGGAAACAGTACCTGCTGTGGCTGCAAAGAGATTCACCAGAGGCCATTTGTGAAAGGTCACAAGCTCCCAAGTGTTCGAGACGCTTTTAAAAGCAGATGTGGGTGCCCTTGACAGTGGCTCACAAACTGTGTGCCACATTCCCTTCTCTTGTTCTAGTCTGTGATTTTTATTTGGTTTAGTATGGAGATTTTTCTTAGGGGAGAATGAAGTAAGGCACGCAGAATTCTTATCAAAGAATAAATTAAAAGTTTTTTATTCTATTTGCACTTTTGCAACAGACATATTATTTAAAAAAAAATCAGATGTACCACAGTATACTTGACCTGAATGCTTCAGTGCTGTTTCTACATTTTGTGAGAGACTGGAAATAACTCCTAGATGTATAACATTTTGACCATGAAACATGAAAACTTGTAAGCCTATTCATTAGCTGCAGTGTTTACTTTCTGAATATTGTCAGATCTTCTGATGCTTTGTTTTCTGTTGACAATAAGTCACTACACCACAGAAATGGGGGCTTGAAAGGGAAAAGGATACGTAAGAGTCTGAACTTTTGTGTGGAAGGATTGAGTAAGTAGGAGTGCAACCATGGCCTAAGTGTTACATTAGGTAAATGTTTCTGTTAAAATATTTAGTATTAAAGGAGATTTTAATTTAAACTTCCCATTTAATCATAATTCAAATTGTTAAGTCAGTGTTTTAATGCCCTCTAGCTTTGCAGGTTAGCCTCAGTACCTAGGTAAAACCAATAAATAGGGTTTAAACAAACTCGAAACTCTTAAAAAATGTCCTGTATTCAGTCATTACTCAGGTATCAAACTGTGATGAATATGCTGTGCTAAATCAGTTGCTTTTTCAGGATAGCTGAAAAAGGTATATAAAACCTAAGCCAAGCCAGTCAGCCCACATGTGGCCAACAAACAGATTTTAGCACGGAGTTCTACCTGCTCAAGCTTTTTGTTGTATCAAGACCACACTTTCTACCCATTCAAAGCTCCATTTAAGTCAAAAGAAATACTTTCTGAATTAAGGGCTGAGAAATGCATACAGACCCTTACTTCCAGCCAGACATTAGTACCACATAATTTCTTTGCCATTGCAATTTCAACCCACCATACTATCTGTTGACTTAAGTCCATCTCACTACCAGTTTCCTAGGAGCACATATAGATTATAGTAAGAATGCAGCCTCAGGTAAGTTTGGTTCTGGATGATGGAATAGCCCTCAATTTGCCTATGTTCACCAAAACTGTCTCTGAAAGAAATCCATCACTCAGGGGAAAGAATGAAAGGTCAGCGCTGCATGTTCCTCTCTCACAGCACACCTTTGCCTTTGTTCAGAAAGCTAGGGAACCTTACTACTGAAAGTATGATTTCTGTTTTCTGAGCTTTAAGTGGGTAGCAGTTGTGACAAAACCTGCCAGGGTTGCTGCTGCCAGAAACCACATAGGCAATTCCCAGGAATGGGTTACTTCCTCCACTCCATACCACAGTTGAAAGAATCACATGCTTCCTTGCCTTGAATTTGGTAACAGGGAAATCCGATAGAAGGATGTTAAGGTTTCACTAATGAAGTTTACATTATTTCCAGGAGAAGAAGTGGTAGTAAAGTGCTAAAAGCCCTTTCCAAGGCATAAACAGCTTGGAGATAAGCATTTGCTGCAAAAATTCTTGTAACTGATCTGTGATGTCTCTGCTATTCTGGGCCCAAAACTCTGTAGCAGCTGGTGGTAAGAAAGCCAGTTATTTTAAACATAGTCTCTGTATGAACATGGAAATACTTTTTTTTTTTAACATTATAAATTCCAGTTTCATAATTTATGTAACTGGTATTGTGTTAATTTCTATGAAAACCCAGCTGAAAATTAGCCTTTTTGGCAGCTTAGCATGATGACTGGAACTAGATGATCTTTCAAGTCCCTTCCAACCCAAACAACTAGATAATGATGGTGATCCACATATTCTCATTGAGGGGAAGTGCTCACCTCTACCTAATATATTATCTACCCAAAATGTTGTATTTTACCTTACATCTCTCCACATGGGAACTTTCAGAACAAAAATGTGCTATAGTACTTAAAATCATAGCTCTAGTGGCTGAGACAGAAATTTATAATCATCTTGACATAACTACTGCTGACAAAATAAGTGTTTTAATTGGAAAAGTTTGTGCTGTTTAGAGCGAGAGTGCACTTTCAGCAGCACAAAAGTTCCTGTCAGTAGGTGGACCAAATCCAAAAGCCCAAAGTCATATGCTCCCATTTGATAACATGTCCTAGCTCCATCTGCACAGGCGAAAGAAAATCTATTTATAGTGTCTCATCACCTTAAAAACTAGGTCTTGTCACAGTGACTTAGTCTGGGATGTTTCTCTCAGTTTCTTTGCTGTTTTACTATATAAATACCATCCACTTCCATCTTGTAACTAATAGTCTTGGATAACATGAAAGGATACTGTAAGAAATATGAAAAGTGTAATTCCCCACTGGGAGGCCATCTGTAAACTGCCTTATCCGTCTGACACAATGATAAAGATTTCTGAAGGTAGCAAAGGCTGACACTCGCATCCAGATAATGAAGTCGTCATTTATGTAACCGTTCTTTTCATCTTCCTCGTCTAAAAAATATACTGGCTTCTGCCAGTAAGGAGGTCTTGATGTCCCTGACAAAAAAAGGAAAGAAACCAGGAAAGACAGGCTGTCAGTCACTGGTGACTTCTGGGCCTTCTCACAACCAACACAGGATATGAAATATGAAGGAGACACAGGACACTGTCCGATACTGAAGAATTATATATGCTAGATAAATTTTCAACCAAACATTTCACTCACCTCAAACATGAATGAACAGAGTTTACCAGTACCCAGGGGTTGCTACACATCAGAAACTTTAAGCTCAGGAAAAACAAAGTTCCTTCCACAAATGAAAATACTGTTTATTCTGGATTCTTGCCTCTTCAGCAAGCAACATGCTCTCTATAATGAGGAGCTTGCCTTCATTTTTGTACTTTAATTTATACCTGTACAACCAGAAATGCACCTTTCTGCAGTCTAATGGCAGAGATTATGCTATTTAGAGTCTGTCATATGAAAACTTAGATAATTAACTCTTGCATATGGCACTGTGCACAGTACTGCCCTGATCCACAACAGGAAGCTTTTGGCTGCACTTCAATACAGATCAACCATAAGAAGGCAACAGCTATGAAACAGCTGTTTTAAAGAACTAGTGATGAAGGCAGTCCCACTTGTCTAACAACTGCCTAAGAATCTGCAAAGACATGAAGATGTGACACACAATTCTCCTTCATTGATGTTTTCAATAGGAAAAAAATAAAGTGGACTGCAGCCTTTCTTTTCCTGAACAGATTATGCATTACAAGAAACTGTACAGAAGGGTGTTGACATGGGGTAACTTCAGTCATCTGAAACCACTTTCTTCCAGTTCTGCGGTCAGTGATGAAAAAAAAATAGCATAAAATAGAATAAAAATTCTATGGTCAGTGATTAAAAAAAAAGTGATATTTTGGTTAAGTCTGTCTTCTGCTGTCAGTCACCCTCTAAAGCTGCTTCTCCAAACTGCTTTGGGAAGCACTTCTCCCAAAGGCAACATCTCAGAATGGGAGACCCTCACACAGGGGAGAAGGGGTAGGGAAGCCATTGAAAAATAAGGAATACCAGTGGAACCATTCTTACCTGGAAATGCAGAAGAGAGATTGTATGATTTTGGATTGCAAAATTTCACATTTTTATCTGTCCACCAGCTGTTTCCAGTCTTCAGCAGTGGTACTTGAATAACAGATGAGTTAAGATTGTAAAAAAGATCAACAGTATCTGTAGGAAATACAAGAAACAATATGTCTGAGTAAAGGACAGTCATTCTAATTGCCAGCATCAATAACAAAAACTGTCACACTGAAGTATCTTTCAAGTGAATAAAAAAATTAAAAAAAATAAAATGGTCTTTAACCATGATATCCCTGTTTCGGTGGGCAAAAAGCTCTTGTTTTTATCCATTATATTTTCCTACTTAGATTAGTTTAACGTAAGTCAAAAACATTATAGGCCTCATTAACATCTATGCAAACACTCAGGCACCCAATGAGATGACAGGCAGGGATAGCTGGATGATACAGATGGCAAGTGGCTGCTTTTTAGGAAACATGAAAACCACAACTCAACTCCACAAGCATCAATTATTTTAATTTTTTTTTTATCCTGCTACAAAAGCTGTGTCATGCAGCTCCTTCAGGCTCAGACATGCTCTTCTGAGTAAGTGATCATTCTGTGTACTACTACCTCCCCAGCTGTTTGCCTCTAGTTTACTAAGAGCAGTTGCAATTCTCTGAGCCTCTGCCTGCTTATCTGCTTGTCTGACTGCTCTCTTTACTGCTAGCTTTGAAAACCTTGAAAACCTTTCTCACAGCATGAACTTGGATATCTTCCTCATTTTACAAAACAGTATAACAGAGCAATTAGACAACTAGCAAAGACATCAAAAGTGAATGGGAAGCATCCTCTTTTACAGCAGAGGGACAGAAATGAACCACCAGAGCAGGATTCAGACATCAGCCCCTTCCCGCACATCACCAGCAGCCAGAACCTTTCATCACACTGTGCACCAAGGACAGATGCAAGGCAGACACTGAGAAGTTTACCCTCAGCATTTTAAAATCTTAATATCCCTAGTTCTCTGAGGGAGCATTCTGTCCTGCGGCCAGGGCTCCAGAACACTGTGGGCTGCAGGAAGGTAGCTCTGCTGGCCTAGGTCTGGGCCCAGACCAGTGAATCAGACCTCCAGAGGAGTAGGTGGGTAGGCAGATGAAGATCAAAAGGATCTAGAAGTTACCGAACACAGCTGCTCTTCACAACTGCTCTGGTGTGGGTGGGCTCAGCTGCTTGAGAACAGCTGCTGCATTGTCAAAAACTGCTGCATGGAAGAGGTCACACACAAAAAAAAAAACCAAAACAGGGAGGGGCAGATAAAAAGGGTGGGGTAAGTGAGAAAAGTCTGTAGACATTTTTTGTCTCCTTTCATCCCAAAGAAATCCATTCTGAAATCTGCCAGTATTCATGGCTAAGAGCCCTCTGCATTTCAGCTTAAATGTACTCAATAGGCAGGTGATGTCCATAAAGTTACTATAAATAAGATCAAACATGGGATCAAATTAAGTAAGACTATGTATGCTTCCAGCATTCAAAGAACAAAATGCAACTATGCAGATCTAAAGATCCAAACCAATGTGAAGAATATGTCACATCCTTCTAAGCACTTCCCACAGGGGTGTGCTTAGAAGGATGCACAGGCTTAGTGCCTGTGGGAAAGTAGAATATGGACTCTCCATCACTACACAAGAATGTGGTTTTTTTTTAGCAAGGAAGTACACTAAATCACCATTCCTTATTTCACCAGGGACTCAGTTCCTCAGTCCTGGCATATATTCACATTGAGGAGGGCCTTACTAAATGAAAAATCTTTCTCAGTTTCAAAATGAGGGGCAAGTTATCAAGCAGAAGGAAGGAGAGCCCCCTGTTCACTACAGTAGCACTGCTAAGCAAAACTAGTGGAAGAAAGACAGATTTTGCAATATCAGGATTCAGCTGGATTGGGGTAATGAAACAGTTTTAAGTGTTAAGTAAGTGTAACTTAAGTTTTAAGTAAGGCAGATGTGGAAGGAACCTACTTACCATTGAACATGCTGTTGGCAGTAGCGCCGCATGGAGCCATGGCTGTCCCATTTTGGTAGGTTGTGAAGGGCATGCAGTAACTATTCTCAATCTGCATTCAAGGTCACAAAACAATCAGGCACAGAACCTGGAGGTTTTGATGTAGTTTGGCGGTGTTACTGTTCTCCTCCCATTCCTTCTCCTGAAATGCCACTGAATAATTAACTCTCCAGCCCATTTTGGTCACATCAGAGATACATCCAAATGAATATGTTGATGACACCTTCTGTGCTACACCACTGTACATAAACCCAAAGTCTTCACCAAATTCTGCTGTGGACTTGCCATCTCCAGACTACAAAAACTCATTTTTGGATCTGCTACTGTAACACAGCTACAATTAAAAATGTTCCAGTGAAGCTCTGGCTTACCCTTGAACATTTTATTTTTTGTTCTTTTTAAATTTCACCTGGGCTGCTGCAGTGGTGCAGAACAGCAGATACAGTTAGCCACATTACTGCAGTTCTATGTAGGGAAATCTTGACGTATGAAGATAGAGCTTGAGAAACAAAAGCCCATCTCAAATTTAACACATCTCTCCTATCCCAGTTCATGAGAAACTATAAATCTGCATGTTTAAATGCAGAAACATTTTCAATTAACTCTAAAAAGCTGTGTATCTGATTGGTACAAAAGCCCATCTCAAATTTAACACATCTCTCCTATCCCAGTTCATGAGAAACTATAAATCTGCATGTTTAAATGCAGAAACATTTTCAATTAACTCTAAAAAGCTGTGTATCTGATTGGTACAAAAGCCAGAAGTGGTTGCACCTGGGTGCAAACAAGCTGACTGGACACCTGGAGAAACAGATTTTAGGGAACATGTCTTGAGAGTTACAAGAGGCCTTTTATAGAAATGATAGATTGTTATGGCATAATCATTACATGTACTGGGAGGACGTGTGTGGAATGTGTGTATATAAATGCTGCTTTTAAGCCAAAGAAAACATGTTTTAGATTTGTAAGTAAAAAACCTGAATGCAATGACTGCATTCTCCAATTTTCTTATGCAGGCCTGTTGCAGGTGATGCTGTCTAGCCTCCTTTTTAGACCTCTAAGTTGCATTCTTAGAATGCTACATGATCTGCTATTTCACCATACACCTTTTCCTGTTCCTTGTTCACTTCCAAAGCCAGATGGCAAACTGGAAGACTCAGAATAATTTAATTCCCTAACCTTATAGTAGAAGCACAGCTTAAAACACTTCTGGCTAAGACAACTGAAAACACCAGGAGAAGGTTTATTTTGTAAAGACAATGTCCTTTTAGTTAGCATCCCTACAAGGTGCAGGTTTGAGAAATGCAACACTGGACTGACACCTTTTATTTATCCTCTCATTTTTCTTCTCTTTCTTACTTATTAGACATAATGGCCCTAACAATCACAGAAGCAGAGACCAAACACAGAAAAATTCTGTACCTTATTATTTATTATTCCTGAGAGGCATCTTAACACACAGTTACACATAGTTAGCTGTATGGTCAAAGATGCACCTGATAGAAATACTGCAGATCTCATAATATAAAGAAGAAAATTTACATTTCGACCCAACAATTGTGCATCACTTCTTGATATCACATATCGACGGTGATTTTGGTAGAAGTTTTGGAGCCCATACTACATAAAAACATCACCCTAGAATTTAAGAATATATCCCCTCAATAAGACGACTTCATGCTGACAAAGAGAAATCCTATTACTTGCTAAAAAAGAGAGGGCAAGAGAGCACTCAGTTAATATTTAAGTGCTGGTAACTTCATGCTAAGCAATTACTTCAGTGGACACCGGCTACAATCTAGTCTTTATCCTAATTAAAAGTTCTGTTATTTTGGCACAAAATTAAACTTACTTTAAACCACCAAATGAAACCTAAAATAAAAATGCTTGATTATTACTTTATTCAAGATGGCACGGCTGGCCATGAATCTGCAATGACTGAATAATTTCATGGAGACAAGACACTTCTTTTCCATAGAACAAGATGCACAAAAAACTTCAAAAAGCACCCATTAGCTCTTAATTCCTTCAGGTTTTTTGAAAAATAAAGATGCCTCTCATCAATTATTTGAACCCTTTGGGACGTTTAGTGCTGTGATTCAAAGGAGAATCTAGGCAGCCAAATACAATCAGTAAAGAGGATTATTAAACTATTAAAAACTTTACTAATTTAAATAAACTTCTAATCATCAATATAATCTGTAGAATTACAGAGTATTTCAACAGCCTCTTCAGTACTGAAGAACCAACCCTAAAGTGACTTTACAACTTAAACTGCATTGTAATTTTAAGTGATCATTTAGGTATTACTAAGCATAAGATCTCTTTGGTGGAACATGAAGCATTTTAACAGTGTCAGAAACATGCCCCAGTAGGTTAGGACAGGAAATGAAGGATACTTTTCCCAAAAGAAACTGCAGAATCACATTGCTAGACTTGAATTATTTCAAGGACCTTGGGGATTAACAGCATAGCCTTCATAAAAAAGATGACAGGGATTTACTGATGACAGGTGGTCAGAGCTTCAGATTTCCTTCTCATTTGACAGCTCAGTGCAGCAACAGCTAACCCCAGGCAAAAGGGAACTGTTTGCTACTCAGAGGGATATTGAGATACGTGACCTCCACAAATACCATTTCCTTCATCCCCATCTTCTCCTTGGACATCTCCCAACCACGGACACAGTTAACCTGATCATGTTCATTTTTAACAAGTACCAAGATGAACAGAAAAGGCAAAGGTGTACAATTTTGAGTATTTCATGTTTTTAAAAAGTACAAATAAAATCTGGTCAAGGAGCTCTACACAGCAGGAGTGGTATATTTTCTCATATAGGGATATAAGTAATGGGAGGTACTAATCAACTTGAATTGGCTTCTTGCATCCACTTACCAATATATCTTCCTTTAGCGTGAAATTAACAGAACAGCGGCATTCCTTATTCTAATTAGATGAATTTTCAGGAGTTTTGAACAATCTGAGCATTTATCTGAATAATCAATCTGTCAGAGACATGAACAAGCAGAGGTATTGTAATAAAGGACATGCACATAGGAAAAGGTTAATGTTTTAGCTCCAAGCCTTTTCAGAACAGTTTTCTTCCAAGTGACTCTGGACTGCCAAAACATTGTTAAAAACCAACAGCAGAGAATCAGGACTTGGCCTCAATGAACATTCACAAATTTTATTCCTAGTGTAAAGATGTTTTAAAGCCTTTTGATGACTGCTGCAGAACCTTCACGGTTTCTCCTCCACAAAAGAATGCTGAGTGAAGAACACTTCTGCAGCTTTGTCTGGCTGACCAAGTAATGCTTGACAATTGCCCACGTGCACTATGGCCCACCCCGCTCAAACAGCCTGGATTTAGTGCTGAGTGTTGGCTCCAGCCACCACAGGTCTAACCAACATTGCCTCCAGGCAGCATTTAAACATCAGATCTCAATGCATTTTAAGATTTTGCCACATCAAACACTTAAGTTCCTCTAATATCAAACACTATCAAAGGGATTAGCATATTTTTCTTCAAAAAAAACCAGGAAATAATAGCAACATTTCAAATATTACCAGCAGGGTCAGAAATTACCACCCATATTTTAGAGATTACCACCCAGTCAACCACTCAATGCTGAGACTTTGTCACATGCTGCTGGACATGTATCCAAGGCATAAAGCCACTGCTGCCATCTTTATCTAGAAGCAAAAATACAAAGCTTTTTTCCTCTAAATGTGGCCCAGTTTCCTCTTCATAGCATGCTAAGAACATAACCCCTAACAAACCTGGATTTCTCTGATGCTGTTTGCAGACAATATGAGGCAGACTCCCACAGAGAAGCAGAACATGCCTGTGAGAAAGAAGGTGGAGAGCACAGCCATGATGGTAAGCTGGGGCTTCCAAGCTGGTAGTCTCTGTTGTCCGAACGCACTGTTATCCAGACACCTGGAAGGACATGCTTCTCCTCCTTGCTGGAGAAAGCTCGTCTTGTTTTTCATTTTCTTCTTGGTGAGAGGAAGAAGTAATACGCTGGAGAGTGTTTAGGCTGAGATACTGTCCTTACTGTTGCAGGACTGTACTGTTTGTTCAAACCTGCATTATGGCCAGGAATTACTTATTAACTGGATCTCTGTCCTTCTCATTTTCTACAGTTGTGCCTGGATCCCCATAATCAGCTTGTACCAATCAAATGACTGTACTTTGGTCAGGGTGTCCATCTTATGCATACTGGAAAAGCCTTAAATATATTCTTCCTGGTCCACAATTCAGTAGGATTTGTTACATCTTATTAATTTTTCAGCTATACTGGAATTTCACTGTAATCTCTCTTCACTTCCATAGCTGCCCAGCTAACAGGCATAGCATACAATGAAAGGAGCTCTACGCTAATTTCACGGGATGCCACTGGGGAGGACTGCAGGTGCTAAAACAGCACTGGACAGAAAACATTGTTTTGGAAGACTGAATAAATCAATTTTCTTAACTTACTACACTCAATGCTGCTGATTCAGATACAATTAAAAGTTGTAAAAAGGTTACACGTTCTTTATCACAAAAGGGCAACTCATTCTCAAAACATCTAATTTGGATCAATGGCTTTCCAAGATGCTGATGATTTGCTCACCTCTATACATCTTGTCCTCTGGAAAAAATCCATCTATTCCCTAATAGCCACAAAAGACAAAAGAATCACCCAGGGATCATCTCCTTTTAATTTAAATGGGCAAACAGAAGAATATTTTGTGCACACTTCAACAGTTTAACAAAATCTCAATATAATATACAGATAATTTATCATATAATAGAAAAACAGAGCATTTGTCCAGCTCTAGAACAGATATTTTTCACCTATCTTTTTGGCAAATTACTGAAATTCATACAACCTTTTCAAAGACCCTTGAAGGCAAGAACGAGATCAGCATTCTCATGAGAGATGTAAATGTCTCCTTTAGGACAACAAGGGGAGATAACAGAAAATTGAGCTGTATAAAGGCTTTCAGACCCAAGCGTGCTCATCTTCGACGTCTCTGAAGTGACATATAGTAGTAGTAAATCTAGCAGGTGAATGTGATTTAACTCTGATTTCAATATCACATTGTTCCTACAATAAAAATAATACTAAAACTACAAACAAAACTTCTTTTTTATTATTAAAAGAAAATTCAGAAAAAGTTGCAATGGGCATTCTTTCTGTATTGCTAGACCTCTGAAAAGTCAAAATTCCTGATTCCACCACCTGCTAATCACTTTCCAACTGCAGGCAAGATAACAGTAAAATGCAGCTGTGAATTATTTCCTTGTTGGTAAAATCATTAGAAGAGTCCCAGCTTCAGAGACCCCTCTCTGCACAGCTTTATAATACTCATCTCCAGTAGGTCAATTGTTTCTTTCTTTATCTGAAGAAAACAAAAATCAAAGAAAGCATCAAAAGTTACTGCTAATGCTTTAGTATTAGTATTTTTATAGTATAATATAGTATAATATAGTATATTTAGTATTAGTATAAAGTACCAGTATTTATTTACTCAGGCATATTACTGTAAGACTAGAAATTAAAGAAGAGGTTCCCATACAAGGTCCTGAGTTCTTGAATGTTTCCATTTTGTAAAATCTCTTAGCATTTGCTCTGCAACCCTAAAGTACAACTATGGCTTGTGAAGTCCCACCTAACATGGCTACAAAAAAGCTGCTGATAAAGCATGCCATAGCAAGAGGTCTGCTGCAAAATCCCTAAGTATTTTCCAGAGTATCAACCAGTACGAGGTAGTTCAAGGGCAGTATTACACCACAACAGCCACAACTGCATCTGTGTCTGACACGTATCAATGAAAAACAGCATGAAGGTCAGGTCTACATGCAAAGTACTTCGGTTTATAACATGGATATGGCCGTAGCTTACTGTTTACCTAAAGATAAAAGACAAGTGTATTCAAGAGTAAATATTGACTACATATTTCAGCAGGAACACAAGATTACCATCTTGGTTAGTACATAAATAGCTCCCTCTTCCCACTTACAAAGAACCTATTTGCATGTTTTCTCTAAGGATTACATCCTTCTGAGCCTCCACTTTGCACAGGAACAAGTGATGTGACAAAGCCTGAACAATTTCTATTCCACACTGGATGTGCTACATAAGGGTGAAAACAGTTGTCTTTCTATCCCAAGTCTGTTTCTGACAAACCTTTTTACTTCCATGAGGCCTGAAACTTTCTGTATTTTCAAACTTCCTCAAGTCTCAGTGTTTGTATTGTTTGCAGACAATACAATATTGTGTTGGGTTTTAAAAAAACCCTCCCTTTGAATTTACGAACAACTAATCCGAGGAGTTGAGACACCTCTGTATTGCCATCAACTTCTCCACACAAAGATTTCACAGCTGTATCCTTTGGTCAGATCAGAAAGTATACAATCAATTTCTATTTAAACCTTTATACATTAGTGTAACTCCAGTGTGCTAAGAGAGTCTGATAAACTCATTCATTCTCCCTGGTTTCTTTGTGAGCTTTTTCTTTATTATTTCCTTCTCTCTATTGTTTGGCATGAATGAAGTGGGAAATAGAAAGAGGGAGAAGAAAAATCCAACAGCATTAACTAATGACATGTTGAAGGAACTGAGGGAGCAGTGGATCAGGGCACCATTCATTATGTGGGTCTGATGGGATACAGGACTCCCATGTGGGAAGATTTATGTGTTTTTAAATTGATATATTTAGCAGAATATACAACTGTGTACACAATTCTCCACTGAACATCAGGTGAGTACAAAACCAGCAAGTAGAATGGACACATGCTTCCAGCTGTTCTTGCTTTCTGTGTAATTACAATGAAATTTAGCAATGCAACACCTTAGATATGCAAAGAATTATCAACAATTGATGTCTGCACTGAAAATAGCATGACTATGACTTATTTCTAATTTTAAGGGTACAATTTTGCCTCCACAATTAAAAATGGATGAAAGAAATGAATACATCAAATTGCCAATTCTCTAAATTACATTTTTGGCACTGCAATTCTTCTCTTCTTTGAGAAAACCTATGACTATTCATAGGATGTATTTAAAATTCTTATACAAGTAGAACAGTAAGATCCTCTGCTCACTAAGACTATTACATATTTCAAGTATGCAAGGTGGCAAAACATCTCATTGGTTATCTACTCTGTTAAGATGCCTTGTCTCCAAAACATTACTTGGGTATCTTTTATTGCTGAAATTCCTTATAAATAAATTTCAGGAATCTGCCTGATGTCTGCAGCAGGACAAATAGCTGCAAGACGCTCCACTTACATAGATCAAGATGTCAAAAACCTTTCTGTATATTGTGTTACCCGAGTCAAGTGCAAGTTTGAACACTCTTCTGTAATCACATATTCACTGTTCTGTAATTAAGCATAAATATCTATTCCTTCCTATGAAGGGGTAACACTCTTTCTTACCTGGTTTTAACATGAACCAAGCCATAACATTTTATGCTAAGAGAGCCTTAAGATTTTGCCTTAAAAAAAATCATCTGGAGTCCTATAATTTTTGTCCTATATTCATGCAAAAATGCTGTGATGCTGCCCACAGCAGCTGAAAGGGATAGCTAAGGTCTGCAACAGCCCAAAAGAAAATCTTAGCACCGTATCTTCAGGTTTTTGAGGTGGATCACCTACAGTCTACTGTATGTATATTTTCTTCAGTCAATTTAAAAAATCCATTCCACTGCAACCAGAACTTCTTGTACTGCTGTGCCTGTGAATTCATGTTCTCTGTTCTTTAAAAACTTACACGTAAATGCGAACACCATACAAAAAGCCTTTTATGTATTTACCACAAGAGGGAGCCTCCTAGCTGGTGTTTGTGCTACTTCACTTCTGCAATACATTTTGGGGTGCTTTATCTGAGATTATTAGAAATATGTATCTTTGCATATATGGCACTGTACAATACAGCACATTCAAATGCACAGACAAGCACAGAGAATGATTAATGACTGATGATTCGTTTCACTCATGAAGCAGATTAATGTCTATATTCAAAAAAATCTCCGTTCTCATCGGAGATTCTGCATGTCAGCCTGCTCCAAATATGCAAAAAAGCAGAAATGCTTTACAGGATATTGAGAGCTTTACAACAACAAGTGATGGAGGACTCTGCCTCCTTCATTCTCTCTGGGTAGATACCAGCTGATGTCCCACAGCATATGCTAAACATGCCTTGTCACAGCAATAAATGTGAAAGCTGGATTACAGAATTGAGAAGAAGGGGAATTATCTTAAAAGGAGTTTATCAGTGATGGATGGCTGTACATAGTTTGTACCCTACCTCTTACCAACCCCCACCCCATCACCAAAGGATAGCTATCTGTAGATCTACTCACAAGAAGTCACTTGCTCTCAGATGGAGATAAAAGCTTCTCCCAAGTTTTCTTTAGTTTTTTGAGAAACTTTTGCACAAAGTCCTCTTACTGAACTTTCTGAGAACAGGTAGAACAACCATCTAGCATAAACAGGAGAAACTGACAGCACAACTGTGGAAGTCACAGCTGAGACTTGTAACAAAGAAGGAAGAAAATCTTTCGAGAGTACAGATTTATCAGTCAAATGTTGAGTTCTTGGTGTTTCTAGACCACCACTGAGGTCAGTTTTAGAGAAAGCAAGCCTTACTGATCCAGATCTGGGCATTAGAATAAAAAGTAATGAATACACAGTATATAATATATACAGGTGCTTAGACAATACCTCAGGTATATCCATCATTCTCCTTAGTTTCTGATCTCTCCAGTTCCAATCCAGAATCATGTATTTTGTGGAGTCCAAGCACAGGCCATCTAAAACAGCAACATAAATTTTACTACTAAGATACTGTCCTGGGTTCAGCAGTAGCAGTCATTTTTTCTCCTTCTTAGTAGCTGGTGCAGTGCTGTGGGTTTGACTTTCAGCCTGGGAACAGCTGCTCAGTAATGTTTAGTCTGACCAAGGACTTTCTGAGTCTCATGCTCTGCCAGGGAGGAGGGGAAGCCAGGAGGAAGGAGAGACAGGACATCTGACCCAAACTAACCGAAGAGGTATTCCATACCACAGCATGTCGTTACCTGGAAGGGCTAGCTCACTGCTCGGTTGGGCTGGGTATTGGTCGGTGGGTGATGAGTGGTTGTATTCTCTCCCCTCGCTATTTTCCCTTACCATTATTGGTGGCAGCAGTAGTGATTTGTGTTATACCTTAGTTACCGGACTGTTCTTATCTCAACCTGTGGGAGGTACATTCTTTCAATTCTCCTCCCCATCCCTCTGGGAGCAGGGGGGGAGGGGGGGGGGAGTGAGAGAGAGACTGTGTGGTTCTGATTTAAGGCTGGGCTTAAACAACGACAGATACTATGATGTGTGCTTATCAAAATTACTTATGGCTTTTACATACTGTCTGTTTCCAAGGAAACTAATCTTTGAACACTTAAATACTACAATTGCTGGTTGGAAAACTAATGCACTGATACTGCAAACTCCCTTAACTGCATAATCCCATGCCTTTTTGGAAGATAAACACAGAAGCAGAACAACTACCGTTGCCAGGCTTGTCAAGAACTAACATTCTGTCAGAAAATAATTCCTCAAGCTTCTTCCTGATGAAACCTCAGGAATTGAATTTCCACAGCTGATGAGGAGCTGGTAAGTTACAAGGACCCTAGCCTGAAAAGTCCTGTTAATGGCAATTGACAATGCTTAGCAATTTAGAGGACTAGGTGCTATGTGAATGTGAGTCAGGTCAGTGGTGCTGCTGAACACTTCCTTTATTCTCCAAATAAATGGTGGAGAAAGAAGAAAACTGGCCCTCCAGCTGTTCTATTTTTCCCTGGTCTTCTGGTGATAGCCACAAATTTTTGTATCAGTTTTGACTATTCTCCATTCTCTAGTGAACTGGCACTCTACACTAAGGTATCAAAAAAGGAGTAGATCTTGAGATGAGATGATACGCCTTGTGTCCCTGCCACAAGCTGCCTCCACACAACACAGAATCATAGAACGATATGGGCTGGAAGAGACCTTAAAGATCATTTAGCTCTAACACCCCTGCCACGGGGGAACACCTTCCACTAGACCAGTTTGCTTGAAGCCCCATCCAACCTGGCCTTCAACGCTTTCCAGGGATGGGCATCAATAACCAGTTCCAAGGTCTTACCACCCTCATGGCAATGTGCTGATGTGCTGAGCAGTAATGATTTAATGTCGATAGAGGGCAGAGGAAGCAACAAAACTATGTTACTCCTGTGCCCTTTTGGAAAGAGCAATAGACTCCCAATCCACAGCCAGTCTGTGGCCTTATCATCTTGTCACTTTGTTGTTTGTTTTCTTAGTGTACATAATGTCTACTGAATAATTAAAAATACTCAAAATTTAGGAAAAAGAGATTTACATAGCATAATGAATTTCACTACAGGCAAATCAGAAATAAAATCAAATCATGAAGAAAATCTTTCGTTCACCCCTCACAAAAGTTTACACTGAGCTCAGAGTGACATATGATACAATGACTTCTGCCATTATTTCCTTTAGATTACTTGCAGTGTTTGGTTTCCTGAACTGTATCTTACACCATGGTTTTGTAATCACTTTGAAGTCAGCATAAATCAGTATTTCTGCCAAAAGAGGAAGTCCCCCACCTCTGTCTGCTCGTTACCTGATTTTGTGTGCACACTGGTTTTGTTTTAATTGGGATCAGTTCTAATTGGGATCAGTTCACTGAGCTGCCAAACAGACTCCTGAGCTAGCACAAGAATCAGGAAGCAGGAATAAATGGGCACTGACTAGGGAGGGGGGGAAGTATTAATTTCTCAGCTAATACTGATTTATGACAGCTTAAATTGATCATAAAATCAACTACTAAAATCTTGACCTCATTTTGACTGACATAGAAGTGGAGAAAGAGAAGAACTGTACAGTTTAATGCCCAAATTCATGTCAACCTCAGCACTTCAAAACCAATTTAAGTCTCACTTCTCATGAGTCCAAGTATAAGATACCTTCGGAGAAAACCCTCCTTGCTCTCCTACCTTGCTCCACTAGCGCTTTTACTCTCCCAGGAGTTCCAACCCCAATGTGGAACACGCCTTTCTCCAACATATTCAACTGTTCTTTAATCTAATTTGGAAAGAAAAAGACAAATCACAGTAAAGCCATGACTGTTTTAAAGTTTCTTCGCAAAGAGCTGGAAATAAATTCAAAATCTCACAGTATCTCCTTCCAGAACACCATCAAATATCAAACGCTATTCATCTTTCAAACTGTCAAACTGATATATCTGGGAGAAAGTTCAAGAAATCTAACAGCCAGCTGAGCATCACACTTCTCTAGAAGATCAGTAATTTTCAACTTCAAAAATCTGCTACTGCACCAGCTATTTTTGGAGGTTAGACCAATATGCTTCCTTCAACATCTAAACAAAGTATCTGGAAATATCTGGAAAACTGGTAAAGTTGAATTAGCTCTAAACTGTAAGATGAAGACACTGGAAAAGGGTGAATTAAAGCAAGTGACATTTGTGTGTTTGACAGCATTTATATCAAAGGCCAAATGTCCACTCATTACTTCCAACATCCGCACAATGTGTGCCCTCCAACAGGTACGGATATTGGGTATCCAGGCATCCAACGGCAGAATGCAAATGTGGCTGCTAGTACAGTTTGCTTCTACAAACCTATGTGTGAGAACCTTCTATTTAAACAGGCAAAAGCCATTTGAATGAGTACCTCACAAGAATGTGGAACATCTTTAAAACATTGCAAATGCATACGCATCTACATTCTGTATAGGATTGCACCAGAGATATGAGAGATGACATTTGACTAGATTTCTCAAATGGCAATCAGTGTTACTAAAGAACGCTATATGAAAGGCACTATTGCTAAACGCTTTACAAAGAAAATGATACAACACTAGTTAGTCATTTAGTTGTTCTATCAGAATTCCCTTGCAGCTCTCTTACCTTTATGTGCTTTGCAAACAACTTGAGAACTCTACAGTCTCCTTTAAATGCTGTCATTGACCTAGCAATAAAAATATGGAAAAAGGAAATGCAAGCATCAGGGCTAGGATTAAGACCACAGAGAGGGAAAGTAAAACTAACTGGCATTTCTCAGTGTGCTTGAGACACAGTCCCCCACTGACCCCTGCTTGTACTTTAAACACTACCTACATTCCCGTTTGCTACTTGATCAATAGTCATCAACAGCTGGACAAACACGATAGAAGGTATCAGTAGGGGGCAATATTGTTAAGATAGCTTTTCAGCTATTTAATAATTATGGCCTGTGCTTTCATAGCTAACTTAGTTCAAAACTGACTAATCCACAAATTCTAATTCAAAAATATCTCAGCTATTGAGATATAGGCATGAACGAACATGCATGTGTGTGCACAAAATGAAAGATCTGCCCATGGACCAATCGATGTTTTAGAGTCTTCCTGCAGCATGGCTGCTGCGGAAACCTAGGCTGCTACAGTCTTTACCGCAGAGATCGTTCCAATTCCAGTTAACCAAACCTCATTTGTCAGAGAACCTCACTTATTTTTCTGTCACTCGATTTTGGCACACAGTAGCAAACTCTATGTTCTGTATTAATCAAGCAGAACAGGACATAGTCAGTACTTAATGAATGCCATTTGAGACAGCTTTGTCTGCATGCTTCTTGCAGTGCACAAAATTTTAATTTTCTCCTGTTTATACACAAGGGGAAAGAAGAGGACAGGGCACACTGAAAATCATCTCTGCACAGAAGTTTTGCCAGGCTGAGAACCTGGAAGCATTCAGGCCAGATGCATGCATTGGCACTTGATGCCCTGGGATTACATGTGCTCATGGCCTTTGGTGCAGTCATGATTTCTAGTAGTGGGTCATGATGTTTTACGGCTTTACTCTGTCCCCAGATGTAACATGTTGCATGTTTCCCCCAAACCGTTTATAGCTTTTTTTTTTAAATAAAAATAGCGCTTCTATGCAACTGAAGTACTGCTACTTCAACCTAAAAACAAACACCAGGCTCCCACAGTTTAAAGAAGCAAGGCATATTGCATCAGTTCAAGTTAGTGAATTTGTTGGCTAGCAGAGGACAGTGGCCCAGTTTTGCCTTTATGTCTGTGGTTCCAAGACAAAACTTCTGACTGCCAAACTCAACATAACATTTGCTATCGACATACTTGATGAGTTCCAAGGAACGAAGGGCAGAACTGCAGATAACCAGCATCACCACTGACTTCTTCTCCGTGTGGCTTTTACGGAGTTTTGCCCACTTAGGACAGACTGCAATGAAAAAGCCCATGTACACATACACAGAAAGTATGACATGCCACAATTTTAAATTACAGGAGTACATGATGAATGGTAGCCAGCAGCAAGAACACACACGCTGACTCCTATGAGGTCTGGATCTCTGGCAACACTTGTACATTTAGTCATGGCTGAGAAACTGGAAAATAAAATGCCCAAAATAAATAAAATCCAGAAATATCACATAACAGAACAAATTAGATAAGCATTAAAAATCATAAGGTGACACTGTCTTTATTTGCCACATATGGCAACTTGTATCCAAGAAAATCAATTGAAAGGAAACATTTACCAGACCAGAAGTTCTATATAAATAAACAGAAGAATACAAATTCTCTTGGTTCATGTCAGCAGACAGCTGCAGGATTTTTACTGTAAGACAATACATACACCTATTTATGAAGCCATAATAAATTACTGCCAAGTAATCCCTAGCAATCAGAGGAAACTCTACAAAATTTTGATACAAAAAAAGTGACAGTAAAAAAGAGCCAGAAAAACAAGACCTGTCATGAAGAAAAGAAAAAAGCAAACCCTTAAAGTCATTAATACTTAATAATTAAAAATATTTGGAGGTACAGATGAAAAATTCAATAATATTGCATTAACAATACTTTCCATACAACTTTCATCTCACCCAGACCCAACATTTTAACTCACTTTCCTTCAGGTATGAAGAAAAACTGTGGGTAAGATCATTGGCTGGCAAAAAGCACGAATCTGAAAACATAAAGGAAAACATTGTTCTGTTGATGTATTTTTAACAGGAAAAGAAGCACATACTTTTATAGGATAACCACTAGTTATATTAATGAAATCACAAGTGTGTTGAAACCCATCATCAATTAAATTACCGTTTGTGAATCAAAGGTTAATCTACCTATGATGCAATAAATTTGCAGATCACCCAAACAATTCATAATGTGTAAATGCAAGAATCTGTCAATAATCTACCTGTCAATAACTTTGTTCCTCTTTCTGGCCTTTCATATTGTGATAATCTACCTAACTATGTTGACCCTAATCGTAACACCTACACTTCATTTTAATGCCTTCCTCTTCCTTTATTTCCGAATGACTGCCTATCTTTTAAGCTGGTCACTATGTGAACTAGTTATGTCTTACAAGCACTTTGTGGCAGACATTTAATTTTAAGCTTCACACAGAGGCAGTGGAGAAAGACAAGGTCCTAACATGTTCTTTGGAAGGTCCTTTCTCCAGTGTCTGTCTAGAAAATCTACATTCTTAAGAAGGGGATTAAAATTAAATTGTCTGAAAACTTGCGATTGTTGTCAAGGGTCTTTGCCTGATGGAAAAATATGCTCCCACAGAGCATTAACAATTCTGTCTTCAGGGACCCACGTATTTGTCATCATTCTGCATGAAGCACAGCACCTCATGGTGCCTGTCTATGGATGTCTGCTGACATATTTTAACTAAATTTTAAGGTTTCCCCAGTGCATGGTGCACTGTGCCAATGCTGGCAGCATCAATCCGTGATTTCCACTGGAATAGACAATGCGACAAACATTGGTTTGTAGTTTGTTGCTGATGCCTAGCTGAAGTCCTGCCTGTGCAGTTTCTTGAGCACAGCTGCTCTACATCACTGTATCTTCCATTTAACAGGTGTTGTCTTGCTAAAATTTTTATTTTTCATTGATCCCTTTTATTAAACTCAGAGATTGACATTTACTGGAACTTGAGTTCCAAAGGGAACGAATGTACAACTGAAGAATTAGCAGCTGACTTACTTGTAAAAATGTGTTTAAAAGATGCACTTGATGGTGGTGGCTTCTAATAGATCATTCCTAAAGGACATGAGCTTCAATCACTGACTTTTCACCAAGAGTCTAACAACACTTCAAATTAACAATTTCAAATGAGTTTCAGAAAGAAGGGAAAAAACACTACAGACTGCAGCAAGAGACCCCAGACTGCTGCGAGAGACCATGCTGTCTACAAACCTGACCTTTTGCACCATGTCAATTAACAAGAACACACAGCTCCAAGTAGTTGCTTGTTACTTGCTCAGTGCTTTGACATGAAGGACTTAACAGCTGTAGAAGTTTGCAGACTCCACAGCACTCTAAGCCTCCAACTCCCAGCATAAAAAGAAAGATTATCTCCATCCAGCTCAAGAGCTAATCCATATGGAAATGAGCTATTTCACTAGTCTGAAGGACTCTTTTAGTAAGAAAGAAACAAAAGTAATTTATTATTTGCTAAAAACCCTAAGGTCTAAAAGTACTTAAAACAAGCTTTTCAAAGCAATCTGTACGGGACTTCTCCTGGTTTTCTTGATTCAACAAGAAAGCTGAACTTGCCCTATAGAAAAAAAGAAGGGTCAACCTAGAATCACAGATGTTAAGGAGAATATTTACCTAGAAAGACAGGCTTAAATATTAAAACAGAGAAATCACTGCCAGGCTAGAAGGCTTCTACACTGGGCACAGGTCACTAAGAGTTCAAGTATCAGAGCTGTATGTATGTAGGTTAGTTAGCAGGCTATTTGAGTACTACTATGTCCTGGGTTCAGCAGTAGCAGTCATGTTTCTCCTTCGTGGTAGCTGGTGCAGTGCTGTGTTTTGACTTCCAGCCTGGGAACAGTGCTGGTGACACCGATGTTTTCGGTTGTTGCTAAGTGATGTTTACCCTGACCAAGGACTTTGTGAGGCTCATGCTATGCCAGGGAGGAGGGGAAGCCGGGAGGAAGCAGAGACGGGGTGCCTGACCCAGGCTAGCCAAGGAGGTATTCCATACCACAGCACATCATGCCCAGGGTGGGGGGTAACTGGGAGTTACCTGGAAGGACACGGGCTTCTGGGTGGGCCTGGTTTCTTGGCCGGTGGTATCGTATTCTCTTCCCTTGTTATTTTCTCTTATCATTGTTGTCGTTGGTAGCAGCAGTGGTGATTTGTGTACATTGGTTGCTGGGCTGTTCTTGTCTCAACCCGTGGGAGTTGCACTCTTTCGATCCTCCTCCCCGTTCCTCCGGGAGCAGGGAAGGGGAGAGCCCTGGTGGGGGGGGCCTCAATTGTTGTCAGCCCAGCACCACTCACTGGGAGTGAGTGAACAAGTTGCCTGACTGGGTTTAAACCACGACAGTTCTTTTTGGCACCCAACGTGGGGCTCGAGGGGTTGAGATAACGACAGATCTGGCCGGATTAATAGCCACTCGTCACAATGCTGATTTATTGGCTCTCAAGGTTGTTCCTCTTGATCTTACAGTTTCAGTATATTCTACCTTACTTCCATCTGATATTTGCTGTATTAGTGTTTTTCAAGTGTGGGGCTTGGGCTAAGGTTTTTGTCCCATTGTACTTTATGGTAATGACTTGTAATACAATAGAATCATTGATCATGAAACTGATCTGGCTTATGTTCCCAGTGTGGTAACCACCTTTATACTTTGGGAGGTATATAACAGAAGTGCTTAGCAATTACACATCTTTTTTCTCCTTCTCAGGTGGTCAACCTGTGAAGGAGACATCCTTTTACCCTCCCAGTCGCCCCCCCAGACCATTTACATTTGAGAGTTTTGAAATTTTTGAATGGCCTTTTAATGCTGTTGAGACTTGTTTGCTGATCATGATGGGAATCACCATGCTAGCACGCATACAGAGTGTGTTTTGCCCACAACTGATTTCAAGAGTTAAGCAGAGTCAGGTTTGGGTCTTGTCTGGGGTCAAACGATGATACAGGAGGACCAAGAGATTTTCCCTGAGGCTGGACAGTCATGAGTGGCAGGGTGTGTGGGATAGTATGGGCAAGTATCTAGGTCAGTGGGCCCCTCCAGTACTTTGGAATTTCACTACCGAACAACTGCAAAATCCAGAAGAATTAGTAAAACACTTAAATGAGGTGTGTGGTCATTCTGGCCATACCAGAGACGGACAAATCATGGCAACGTGCTGGGGCTTGGCCTATGCTTACAGGGCCTTGTTCAACACTATCCAGCACCTTCAAAAGGAAAAGAATGTCGGTGGATCTGAGGGCAAAGCAACAGTCAGCGCAGCTACTCCAGCCCCAAGCACAGCAGCCTCACCACCCCCAGCGACAAGTACAGTCGCTACTCAAACTTTGGCTGCAGTGAACAGCGCAGCTACCCCAGTGGCAAGTACAGCAGCTGCTCAAACTTCGACTGCAACAGACAGCGTGGTTACCCCAGCTCCAAGCAGAGAAGCTACACCACCCCCAGCAACAAGCACAGTCGCTACTCAAACCACAGTGATAATTACTGCAGCCAAACCAGAGGACCAATTCCTACCAATATCGGTTGCCCCTGTACGCAAGAGAAAAAGCAAAAAAGAGGCAAGAAGGGTGAAGCAAGGTGAAGAAATGGTGTATTCACCACCCGGTCTAGCATCTGATCAGGAGTCATCATCACATGACGAAGAAGAAGAGGTGACTTCTCGACCTCGGACCTCAACCGAGCTACGGAATATGCGAAAAGATTTTACCCGTCAACCAGGGGAGCACATCATCACCCGATTGCCCCGATGCTGGGACAATGGGGCCAATGGTCACGAACTAGAAGGTACAGAAGCCAAGCAGCTGGGATCACTTGCTAGAGAAGGGGGAATTGACAAGGCAGTTGCAAAAAGAAAAAGTCCCTCAGCCTTTGGAGGAGGCTCTTGGCAGCTGTGAAAGAAAGGTTTCCGTACAAGGACGATGTTATGAGTCATTCAGCCAAGTGGACTACTACAGACAAAGGCATCCAGTCTCTGAGGGAATCAGCCATCGTAGAGATGATCTGTCACATCAAGCCGAATAACGGGGATACACCCATAGATCCAGATGAAGTTGAATGTACACGACCCATGTGGCAAAAACTTACACGGAATGCACCGTCATCATATGCCCATTCATTGGCAACGGTAACCTGGAATGACATAGTACCACTAACAGTGGATGAAATGGTTCATAAACTCCGAGAGTTCGAAGACAATCTCACCCCTTCCATCATCTCAGCTGTGGAAAAACTGTCCCAGGACCTCAAACAATTGGGGGACGATCTATCTGATTTATCCAGCTCCTCATGTGTACCAACACACATCTCGGCTATTAACAAAAGGCGTCCTATTGTTCGAGAGAGGAGATACAGGAGGTATATGCCACGGGCCACCCTATGGTTTTACTTGTGGGATCACGGAGAAGACATGACAAAGTGGGATGGAAAACCTACTTCAGCTTTGGAGGAACGGGTGAGTGAACTGAAGAGGGGAGCAAGGGCCAAGACTGATTGTCCCATGAGAGCTACGGCTTCAGCCTCTGGTGAGCAGTTTCCCAGATGGAGTGCAAGAGCTGATTTTACTCCAGCTCCTGTGATAACGAAGAATAATCCCTTTCAACACGAGTTAAGTGTCCAACGCTGTGATGACCCTTAGAGGGGCCCTGCCTCCAGCCAGGTGGAGGTAGGGGACAGTTGGATTTACTGGACTGTGTGGATCAGATGGCCTGGCACATCAATCCCACAGAAGTATAAGGCTCTAGTAGATACCGGTGCACAGTGTACCCTGATGCCATCAAGCTGTCAAGGGGTGGAACCCATCTATATTTCTGGAGTGACAGGAGGATCCCAAGGGTTGACTGTGCTGGAGGCTGAAATCAGCCTGACTGGGAGGGAATGGCAAAAGCACCCTATTGTGACTGGTCCAAAGGCTCCATGCATCCTCTGCATAGACTACCTCAAGAGAGGGTACTTCAAAGACCCAAAAGGGTACCGGTGGGCTTTTGGTATTGCTGCTGTGGAGACTGAGGAAATTGAGCAGCTGTCCACCTTGCCTGGTCTCTCAGAGGATCCTTCTGTTGTGGGGTTGCTGAAAGTCGAAGAACAACAAGTGCCAATTGCGACCACAACAGTGCACCGGCGGCAATATCGCACCAACCGAGACTCCCTGATTCCCATCCATCAGCTGATCCGTAGACTGGAGAGTCAGGGAGTGATCAGCAGGACCCGCTCGCCCTTTAATAGCCCCATATGGCCTGTGCGAAAGTCTAATGGAGAGTGGAGACTAACAGTAGACTATCATGGCCTGAATGAAGTCACACCACCATTGAGTGCTGCCGTACCGGACATGCTAGAACTTCAGTATGAACTAGAGTCAAAGGCAGCCAAGTGGTATGCCACGATTGATACTGCCAATGCATTTTTCTAAATTCCTTTGGCAGCAGAGTGCAGGCCACAGTTTGCTTTTACTTGGAGGGGTGTCCACTTGGAACCGACTGCCCCAGGGGTGGAAACACAGCCCTACCATTTGCTATGGACTGATCCAGACTGCACTGGAACAGGGGCAAGCTCCAGAACACCTGCAATACATTGATGACATTATTGTGGGGGGCGATACAGCAGAAGAAGTCTTTGAGAAAGGGAGGAAAATAATCCAAATCCTGCTGAAAGCCGGTTTTGCCATAAAACGGAGTAAGGTCAAGGGACCTGCACAGGAGATTCAATTTTGGGGAATAAAATGGCAAGATGGGTATCGCCAGATCCCCACAGATGTGATCAACAAGATAACAGCAATGTCTCCACCAACTAATAAGAAAGAAACGCAAGCTTTCTTGGGTGCTGTGGGGTTCTGGAGAATGCACATCCCAAATTACAGTTCGATTGTAAGCCCTCTCTATCATGTGACCCGGAAGAAGAATGATTTTAAATGGGGCCCTGAGCAACAACAAGCCTTTAAGCAAATTAAATGTGAGATAGTTCACGCAGCAGCCCTTGGACCTGTCCGGACCGGGCCAGATGTACTGTACACCAGGAGGATGGTCCTACCTGGAGCCTCTGGCAGAAAGCTCCAGGGGAGACTCAAGGTCGACCCCTCGGCTTTTGGAGTGGGGGATACAAAGGATCTGAGGCCAGCCATACCCCAGCTGAGAAAGAGATACTGGCAGCCTATGAAGGGGTTCAAGCTGCTTCGGAAGTGACTGGCACTGAAGCACAGCTCCTTCTGGCACCCCGGCTGCCCGTGCTGGGCTGGATGTTCAAAGGCAGGGTCTCCTCTACACATCATGCAACTGATGCTACATGGAGTAAATGGGCTGCACTAATTACACAACAAACTCGAATAGGAAATCTCAGTTGTCTGGGCATTCTAGAAGTCATCATGGACTGGCCAGAGGGCAAAGATTTCGGAATGTCACCAAAGGAGGAGGCGGTGCATGCTGAAGAGGCCCCACCATATAATAAACTGTCAGAAAGTGAAAAGCAGTATGCCTTGTTTACTGATGGGTCCTGCCATACTGTGGGAAAGCATCGGAGATGGAAGGCAGCTGTATGGAGTCCTGGACGACAAGTTGCAGAAACTGCTGAAGGAGAGGGTGAATCAAGTCAGTTTGCCGAGGTGAAAGCCATCCAGCTGGCCCTGGACATTGCTGAACGAGAAAAGTGGCCAGTACTTTATCTCTATACTGACTCACGGATGGTGGCAAATGCCCTGTGGGGGTGGTTGAAGCAATGGAAGCAGAGCAACTGGCAACGCAGAGGTAAACCCACCTGGGCTGCTGCACTGTGGAAAGATATTGCTGCCCGGGTGCAGAACCTGGTGGTGAAGGTATGTCATGTAGATGCCCATGTACCCAAGAGTCGGGCCATTGAGGAACACCAGAGCAACCAACAAGTGGATAAAGCAGCTAAGATTGAAGTGGCTCAGACGGACTTAGATTGGCAACATAAAGGTGAATTATTTTTGGCCTGGTGGGCCCATGACACTTCAGGCCATCAGGGCAGAGATGCAACATATAGATGGGCCCGTGACCGAGGGGTGGACTTCACAATGGACACTATTGCCCAGGTTATTCATGAGTGTGAAACATGTGCTGCAATTAAACAAGCCAAGCGGTTAAAGCCTCTTTGGTATGGAAGACAATGGTTGAAGTATAAACATGTGGAGGCCTGGCAGATTGACTATATCACACTGCCACCAACCCGCCAAGGCAAGCGCCATGTGCTTACCATGGTGGAAGCAACCACCAGGTGGCTGGAAACATACGCCGTGCCCCATGCCACTGCCCGGAACACCATCCTGGGCCTTGAGAAACAGATTTTGTGGCGACACGGCACCCCAGAGAGAATTGAGTCAGACAATGGGACTCATTTCCGGAATAACCTTATAGATATTTGGGCCAAAGAGCATGGCATTGAGTGGGTATATCACATCCCCTACCATGCACCAGCCTCTGGGAAAATCGAACGGTACAATGGGCTGTTAAAAACTACACTGAGAGCAATGGGTGGGGGAACTTTCAAGCACTGGGATACACACTTACCAAAGGCCACCTGGTTGGTCAACACCAGAGGATCTGCCAACAGGGCTGGCCCAGCCCAGTCAGAACTTTTACATATTGTAGAGGGGGACAAAGTTCCCATGGTGCATATGAAGAATTTGCTGGGGAAGACAGTCTGGGTTATTCGTGCTTCAGGTAAAGGCAAACCCACTCGTGGGATTGCTTGTGCTCAGGGACCTGGATATACTTGGTGGGTAATGCGGGAAGATGGGGAAGCCCGATGTATACCTCAAGGGGATTTGATTTTAGGGGAAAACAGCCAGTGAACTCAATTGTATGCTGTTGCCTGCTGAGTAATACTTTTATAGCCAATCAGCTAGATGTCTCCAGGTCACCAGCGACTAGCCCTGACTTCCCTCCAACCATCAACCCAACAGAGAATGAACTTTGATAGAACCGGATGAGTTCCACAGTAAAGGAACGACCAGCATCAGCAGGCAACGATCCAATACTGCACACAGCCTTTCCTGCCCTGAAAGATTGTTACAAGAGATGGAACCTGACATCATGGACTGAATGGACTCGGCAGCATTATAGGGATTGGTCCATGCACTAAGAAAATGATCTCTTTCTCTTGGTCTGTGTGTATATGGATGTATATATGTGGGAGAGCGATGGTGTATTGAAAATGTGGGATCTGAGCACAACGTGAATGGTATGGAATAAGGGGTGGATAATGTCCTGGGTTCAGCAGTAGCAGTCATGTTTCCCCTTCTTGGTAGCTGGTGCAGTGCTGTGTTTTGACTTCCAGCCTGGGAACAGTGCTGGTGACACCGATGTTTTCGGTTGTTGCTAAGTGATGTTTACCCTGACCAAGGACTTTGTGAGGCTCATGCTCTGCCAGGGAGGAGGGGAAGCCATGAGGAAGCAGAGACGGGGCGCCTGACCCAGGCTAGCCAGGGAGGTATTCCATACCACAGCACGTCATGCCCGGGGTGGGGGTTAACTGGGAGTTATCTGGAAGGACACGGGCTTCCTGGTGGGCCTGGTTTCTTGGCCGGTGGTATCGTATTCTCTTCCCTTGTTATTTTCCCTTATCATTGTCGTAGTTGGTAGTAGCGGTGGTGATTTGTGTTGTACATTGGTTGCTGGACTGTTCTTGTCTCAGCCCGTGGGAGTTGCACTCTTTTGATCCTCCTCCCTGTTCTTCTGGGAGCAGAGAAGGGGAAAGCCCCGGGGGGGGGGGGCTCGATTGTTGTCAGCTCGGCACCACTCACTGGGAGTGAGTGAACAAGTTGCCTGGCTGGGTTTAAACCACAACATACTAGCAAATAATGGACAGTGCCCGTCAAATGACAGTGCCTCCTCGTCTACAGTATAAGCAGAAAAGAAGTTCATTGTTACCTTCATCTCTAATGCAACCTCCAACTGACAGAAGCTAACCCTGCTCTACCCTGCTTTGCCTTTTCTATCACAGGGTTTTAACTGAAGACAAAATACAGGAAACCAAAAAGGGTCCTCGTCATGGTTAAAACTTGGCCACTTTACACTTGGACGAAAACCATCATCTCATTTCATGCCACTCCTTGAAAAACTATTACATTCAACATCTCAGTGATTCTACGAGCTCAACCACATCAGAATGATGTCTCATTACTTCTTTGTCTACTCCTATTGTCAGTCCTCCTGCTGCGCACCTGGATCAACTGTGATAAACTCAGAAATAAAATACATTTTCAGTCTCTCAGCATCTTGGAAGTTATTATTAGGAATCATATAATTCCTATCAGAAAACTGAGCTCCTGAAATACTTTGCAATAAAAGGACACATTTAAACAATGTTCCTTTTCATTTCCGTAACTCCAAGAAACCTTATTTATTCTAAAGAAACTAACATCTCTACTTCAATATCAAATTAATGTACTGTATAAGAATGTATTTCCACAAAAAGTACAACTCAAGATCTGTTCCCCAAATCCTCTTCCTTCTGCAGAAAAAGAACTCAACGCTATCATGAAAAAACAGTATTTATCTATTAAATATAGTTACCTGAGAGCTTTAATTCCTCCATTTCAATCACTGAACGGTTTTCACCAAAATGCTGGCTAAGCAGATTTTGTAGATCTGCAGGAACACCAGGTTTTGGAGCGGATTTTTCCAAAATATCAGAAATTTTCTTCTATAAAAAACAAATAAAATGGGTAAGTATGGCACTTCTATAATTTCTGCTCTTTGGCTAACACCACTGTAAATAAATGTTACTTGATAGCTTTATACAGTTATTTTGGTTTAATTACAGCTTAATTAGAAAAACACCTTACAATGGGACAAGATTCCTGTAGTTGTGAGAATGCAGACTTCCGATGCAAGTTCAGGTACTTTGATGAGATCGACCTTGAGCCTGAAGACAAAACTCTTGTGCACTCAATGAACTGAAAGCTGCTTTGTGAGTTTTGTTATTTTTACACTTAACTCTCAGTTGGAAAATTCAGGGGGTTTTCATAAGCTATTATTTTTAAAGCATAACAACAGGCATCATGTGGTTATATGTGTCTTGGTTACATTTTGATTAAAACAAGGTAACTACCTATCTATTTTGGAAGGAAAGATGGATGGCTGTATTCACAGAATACAAAAAAAATAGCAATGAAAATGAGTTAAAGAGCTCACGAAACCAGAAGTCAACTAGAAATTGTTCAGCACCTGCTCTGTTCTTCCAAATGTGTATCTTGTGAACCAAACTAGTAACTTTTAGAGCCTCAACATGAGTTCGTAACGATTGTGTCTATACCTTAGGAATGTAAACAAATACCTGGGTCTGAATTTTAACTTAAGTGGAAGTGTTGCTGTATTTTTCCCTATAATTAAATGGATCACTGGAGTAGAATAGCCGTGGCTTCCTGTTGTCTGAATGATCTGCCAACATTTAAGAAAACAGTAGGTTTTAAAGGATTGCCTGGAGACAACGGCAAGAATGTGAAGCCTCTCGTTCTCACTGAGAAGAGATTCCTTTGGGAAAGGCCACAGTAAGGTTTCTCAGCTGTGTAAGCTAAACTGAACTTGCCTCATGAGGATGCATGGCAGTACAAGCTTAGAAGCGAAAAGGAGCACGAGAGCATGGCTGGGATGGGGCAAAAGGGCACAAATCTAGGAGGCAAAGTGAGATTTCACGGACAAATGAGGTGGGACTAGAAGCATTTTTGGCAGCTTTGGAGGGATGGTAGGCACCTTCAGGGCAAATTCAGCAGTTTAAGGTCCAGGGCAGCAAAGATAAATGGAAATTTTGACGAGAGCTACAGGAGGAATTTCAACAGAGGGGATAGATCTTCCATCCCTCTTTCCCTCACTCCACCCCAGCACCCACTCCCTCTTTCTCTTCCATTCCTCAGCACTCTGTCTCTCCATCTTGCCCAATACACCTATAATGGCAGCATAAGAGGCAGAAAGCTAAAGAGGGAAGGGCCATATGGGGGTTGCTGAAGACACTCCACACCACAGCAAAGGCTGCCTCTCCCAGCTGTCTGCCTCTTTGGCTACTGCCCATTTTAACTCTTGCTTAAAGTCAATTGTGTGCTTGCAAAGCCCCAGATGAATCTTTGACAGCAAAACAGAACTATCAGGCTCATTTTACTTGGTAATTCAGCATAAGGTGCTATTCCACAGGACCACTATGTCATTTGTTAGGTCCCTTTGTTCCTTCAGGAAAATGATGGCACCCTGGAGGGGAGAAGCCTGATACTTAGGGAATTCCCTAAGAGCAAGAGCAAGGACACCTGAGCAAACTTTATTCCTTCAAGGAGGATGGGGAAATGAGGAAATGTTTCTCATGCAGGATGTTTTATTATTTTTCTTGCAATTCATTCCAGATGCTTAAAAGCAAAGTGTTGATTTCCCCCCCCCTCCTTTTCCTTACTTTGAGAGAATACTTTGTTTGGAACCCATAGATCAACCTGATAAATACTTCCTGATGGATTTTTGACAAGCTGTGTATGTCAACTTAGTGGCCTAGCCCCACTGAAACCAAAGGTGTAACTAAGCGCCTATTGTTTGCCTGAGAATAGGGTGTTTTTGTGAGGTCTGGTTCACCAATCTCGGGATGCTTTTGTTCTTGCAGCAGTAGAACAAGTACTGCAGTCACTTCTGCCAGAGCTGCATTTAAAAGAAAATCCCACTCTTCCCTCTTCCCATTTCCTAGATGATTGAGAGGCCTGACATAACATAAAAAGGCCACTTCTCAGCCTTGTGAAGGAGCCAACTATTTACAGTTTGCCCTGAAGGACAATTAACTTTCTGGTACTATATAATTTCCATCTAGACTGCAGAGTATGTTTGTTGTTGAGGATGAGGATTAAACATGGCCAGAGGGACAATGCAGGGTATTTATTTATACAGTTACACTACGAGGAGAAGAGCAAACAAGAACAGTTCTTGGCTTAAAAGATAAAATAGCAGTTCGAGCTTGACACACTTCTGGAATGGGGCAGATTCTGCAGTAACTGAAATTCCACCTATCTTTGATGCAGTTACATTTTCCCAGTACGCAATACATGCAAGAGTGGTGTAGACATATACAACCCTTGTGCAGAGTACAGACACATTGCTCCAGGTCAGGTTGGGAAGTGGTATTTTGAATGAAGTCAAAAAAGTAGGAATTTGTGTCTAAAAGAGGCTCCAACATCGTGACCATGTTACTTCTCATCATCACAAGGTTGTCCCAGTTCTGAATCTTGCAATAGCACATACACCCACTGCCCAGTTCCCAAACACTCTCTAGGACATTCGTACCTTCTTTCTCTTCTTTGCCTTTACAGGAGTCTCTTGTTTTTCTTCTGGCTGACTTAGAAAACACTCTGCGGGCTGCAAAGCACATATTAAAAAAAAAAAGATTCAACATCAGATATCTGATCACTGGGGGGGTGGGAAGAAAAGGTCACCAAAGGGAGCTAAGAGGGGGTAGAGAAAGTAAAATGCTGGTTAGAGAAATAAAAACAAAACCAAGCTTCCCCACTTACAGAAGGGATCACATCCTTAGAGTTACATGTATCCAGAGTAACTTTGGAATAGAGATCTATGTTGTAAGCAAGAGTAGAATAAAAGAACAGAAAGTTGAAACATGTAAGTTGTAGCCACAATTCCATAAAATGGTGAAAAGCAGGTTTTGATACATCTAAAAAAAAATCAAGAGGAAAATATGAACAAAAGATTTCACAAACTTTGTATTTTTAACCTCTATTATTGTGTGTGATTGTCTAAACTTTGCCAATAGTGCTCTACAATAGCTGGGTCTAAGGTGATCATCCAGACAGTGAAAGATGGCAGGAAAGTGGGCAAGAATAATTGGAAACAATCATACTCTGGATTTCCTTTTACATTTGTAATATAAAATTTAGGAAAACATGTTTTGAGTTTGTTCTACCCCATTCTTGCTTTGTCTCCCCATAGCAGGCAGGGTCAAATACACACAAGCAAAATACATGGTGCATTTCAGAACAATCTTCATCCAACATGTGTTGCTACCATTAACCCTCTTTTGTGCCTGAGTGAGCAGGTTGAATTGGTCCATTTGTACCAGAGTCCCTGTTCACATAAGCTAGGTTTAGGATTTGTCCTTAGATACCTAAAATGGTCCAAAACAGAGGAAGTGAGGCATAGGCTTTCCTTGTTTTGAGCATAGTGATTCCTTTTTTCTTTTGCCTTCTTAGGGACTTTTGCTTCATGGAAATGCAAATTAATCTACATAGAAGGGTTTTAGAGCTTAATATGTGACTTGATGAAGAGCAATGGGAAAACAGGCTAAGCTGCAGGAAAACCTCCTTAATATTAGGATGCATTTGGCTGGAAAAATCTGCTCTGGTGAGAAACTGTGGAGAAGTCTCATCACATGGAGCGCAAAAAGCTCAGGAACAGCAAATCCAGTGCTGCTCCCTGGGGAAAGCCCGGAAGAAAAGTATGAGCAGAAAAGGGAGCCCAGCTGAAAGCCAGAGAAGCTGCTCCTTTGTTCCCTTGTGAGGGCAGTTTCAACATGACAAAAGACAAGTTAACAGAAGTTCAGACTATATGAGCCTTTCTGAGTCCTCCTTGCACTCCCCTCCCCTTAACAGGAGGACACTTCATGACAACTAGTACTATATGACCCTACCCAGCACTTTGTGGCTTTCCAAGCCCACTCTCACATCCTTGTCAGAAACATTTTGTGGAGTTTAATTGTTCACATTAAGCCTACATTTCCCTTTTACTCTCCACTCCTCTGGCTAATTTAGCTATAAAAACCAGGATACTATCATGCTTAAAACAAATGACCTATTGCTTGCTTCTGCTTTCTGTGCCATGATGCAACCACAGCCAGTGCACTGGTAAAGGCAGCAATACTCTACAGACGTGGCCATGAAACTGGTTGAGATTTGAAATGGTACTTGGGAATGACCAGAGACAATTTGGTTGAGGACTGGCTACAGCCAGCAAAGCACTCTATAACTAGAGCTGGATCAATACCTACCCATGAGAAGTGATAGGGACCGTATCTTGCCTCAACATGATACACGTGTCCCTGTGATTTTCTCGGGTATAAACAGATATTGTCTTCACCAGAAATCAAGGGAACTACTGCAAGTAGAAACTCACTTCAACTAATAGTTGTGGCAAGGTTAAAATAAGCTTTTGGGGTTTATTTTTCCTTTCTTTCTTTTTTAATAATCTCTCTCCTGACTCTGATTCAAGTGCTTTTAAAACACCACCATGCATTTTTTCATTCCTATCCCTAAAATTAGCACTCCCACACATTGAGACTGAAACAGAGGTACTCTCTGCTTTCAATTCCTGCTCTACCCTTACACATGCCAGCTGTCCATAGATAATCAAAGACCGCTTGCCAGGTGTTTTAATCATAAATTCCATGTTCAACACACTTTATTTGGAGAACAAGCCTTTGGATCGATTTAGTCAAGGGATATTAACTAGCAATCAAAAAGGCAGAAAGGGGCCAACCTGAATGTCTTTCCTCCAGTAAAGGATGATGTTCCTCTACCCTAGAAAGTGCTACTGCTCTTTCAGCATATTGAAAAATGTTATGCATTCACTTCAGGCCCATTTCTCCTTCCATATATATAGTGAATTCTTTTACATAAATATGCAGAACACTCCCAACAGGTAGCTGCGTAAGAAAAGAATAAAACTGTGGCACAGAGCTGAAAAATACTCTCCAATAGAAACCAAATTTCCTCACTGATACCCCCTCATTTAGTTGTTTAATAGTATCCCCAAATACCACAGCTTCTTTTTCGAAGGCAGTATGCAAGCAGTTATTTCAACAGCAAAAGAAATACAAAGCAGTCACAGAAGTACACAGCAGGCTTGTAGCCAAAGTCTTGCTTCTGCAGAGAAGCATGTTAAGACTCAAAATTATCTCCTTTACAATAGCATATATATATTTAGGCATAGTATGCTATTAGCCCAGCAATAATGAGTCCACTCTATTACAACATTAAAAATAATGCCATAAGAGAAACTTCAGGGTGGTGAATGGCTGTAAGCTTACTTATCTTTGATGATCTGCAGTCTAAAATACGAGGGCATCTGATCTAGACTGAACTTCTGACCCTTATCCAAACATTAGTTGCCTACCTACTTATGCAATAGCTCTTTAAATACCACCCTTAAGAAAATGACATTTGCATGTTTTTCTTATGCAAGACACAGAGCAGACAATCAACTGTTTTTTGACATGGTTCCCCCACGCTCTGTATTTTTATGCTATTTTTACATGGAAGTTCTTAAAATGCAGAAAACAGGAAATTTGTGCTGAGACCAGTGATTTATGACCTAGAATGTCATAAATTCTTGTTTGTTAATCATAGGCAGAACATAAAATATTTCCTGCATTATATTTCTAACAATTTTTTTTCTTTACGTGTTGCCAAGTTACTGCGAATTCGAATATAGAGTGAAAACATTCTTGCCTGAGTGTGGAAGTTTACATTCTAGGTCAGCCATATACTCTGACTTTTAGTTTTTGACAAAGTAAGCACATCAAATACTCCATTCAGTTTGGAGACAAATTATTCACTGTAAGCCTGAGGACAGCCTGCAAGCTAAAAACATAAATGCTTGCAGTTCTATTTGGTTGTCTCCTGACTGGCTTTAAGGTGCCAAGTCCACTGCAGAACAGCTTCCAGCCTGTGAATAAGGCAGGGATGAATAAAACAGGTTATGTTATATGCACCAAAACTACAAAACTACTAGCTTTCTGTAGACACATCTGATTTTGCAATTGTTTTGCAAACATGACATGTCCGTGACTTTAAGCTCCCATGAAACTCCTGGAGTTTTGTGGCTAGATATCAAAATACCCAATTCCAAAATGCAAACTAGTATTTTTTATATGACAGGAAGAGTTGTGGCTTGTGTTCTGCTGTAGCTTAGCAGTCCCAGTCCGCCCTGTCAGGATAACTTGTAGTGGCTATCTTATGTTCTTACAGAAAGGAAAGAACAAAGCAACTTCGCCAAACAAACTGTCTTGACTTAGTTCCAAATGTTGAAGTGAAGATAATGGTGATAAAAAGTGGCTCCACAAGTGTCCTCCTCGAGTTGAAGTCCTCAGCATCAGACCCCTGGTAGAGCATGCACAAAGGCAATACAGCTTTCTCTTGTATTGCTCTGTTCTCTCTTTCCTAATCAAAACATGGAACCAGTTCAGATATTTATTTCTCTCACTTCACCTCTGGTTTCCTTGGAAAGACACCCCAAAGCATAGTAATTTCTACTGTGTTGTTTTAACACTTCTCTGTTACAAAAAAAAAACCATCTCTGAAAATAGTTTTCACTTTGGCAACTGCATTCACACTGTGAATTTACTATTGATGTAGAGGTCAAAATTAATATCTGTAACCTCAAGGAGAGATAGTTTCCAATGTAATTTTAGCTGTTTAACAGCCATTTGCTTGATTCTGCTATACGGTATCAGGAAGGAAGAGGAAATTTACTTTCAAACAAGAGACACTTAAAATCATCTGACCTCTAGATGACTCGTTTTTGCTGTATTTGGAGTGATGCTGCATGTCAAAAACCTTGCTGCCTTTTGCTTGGCATATATATTTAATGCTGAACAAGACAGTTCCTACTGGTTTTAAGGGAAGCTTTTATTAGTGAAAGGCTATGAAAATATCAATCCATGTAGAACTAAATTCCTCTTCACTTAGACCTTGCACTGGAGAGATTATTGGGTAGAGATCTGTACAGCACATAAATACAGTTTTCAAGACCTTGTGTGTGTGGGGAAAGAGAAAAGATTATAGGGGAGGACGCTTGGTAGGCACCATCCAGGCTTTCATCGCTACGAAGTCATGTTGTAACAGACAGGCTTGGCACAAAACAAGAGTGAATTTATTGAAATGTACTGGGTTGTGATCAGTTCCGATTAAGGCAAAATAATTTAATAAAACAATCTTAAGAGATCAGACAAAGCGTGAAGTAAACCGTCTCTTTCCTGCAAAAATGGGGACTATGTTTCCTTATGCAGTATCATCTCTGTGCTCTACATGACTGCTACATTTACAAACCTGCTTTCTTTTCATTGCCATGGCAGGTTTGGAATCTGAATCTTTATGTCTTGCTGTCCTGTTGTCACTTGGTTTCTCAACAGCTTCATCTTCTGAAGGATCTAAGGAGAAAAAAGAAGACTGTTTTTCAAATCCATCTCCTATCTTTGCATTCAAAAATAGGGACTATGGTCCACAGGATCACTGTCAAAATACATCTTCCTTGCTAAGTTTTCTGACACTTCTTTCAGAATAAGCCATCTCCTCCTACTAAAACAAGTCGTACAGATGAAGGGAGAAGACAACCAAACACACACAAAAATGCACACAACCTCCACCCCCAGCCTCCATCTAAAAGCTCCAAATGCCTTATTGCCAGCAATTACCTAGAAGAGTAAAAAATAAAAGATTGGTATAATGTCCTATTGTATAAAAATATATGCAGCCATTTTCTGCATGTACATTTTGTCTCTCCTACTTCAGTAATTATTAGGCAAAGGCACTATACCCGAAGTTTTAGCAGAATGCCCATAAAACTGAAAAAGGCTTATGTTTTGAGAGAAAACTATTTAAAATAAGGTGTTTCTACTCATTTTATTCTTCATCTCTTTTATCTATAAAGAGACTTTGGGGGGAAAAAAATATCCACAGCAACATTTCCCTTTTGCTATATTAGTGCTTAACATCTGCTGAAACACAAAAGTTTTTGCTGGGGACTGAATTACTTCCCTGATCATTGCCAGAAGTATTAAGATACATCAAACTGAATTATTCAATTTCTGTATCTAGAGTATTTCCACCCAACTGGTACTTAGTCATTGTTGCAATCTCCTGCATTCTGAAGTTCTAAATTCACTTCAGCTTCAAGATTGAAGAGGAACAGTATGATTTCTTCAGTATCACCTGAAGTACACATGATGTTAACTACATCTATGCAATCACTACCTATGAGCAGAGTAAACTGATGGCCAGAGAACATATGACAGAGAGAAAATAAATTATGGCTGGTATTTACTAATTCTACGTTGAAATAGGTACCTAACAATAAAAGGTAACTGAAATGATACATGAAAGATATCTCAAAGAATTTAAGTTAAAGGTGAAGTAAAAGAATGTGAAGGAGGAGAAAAAGAGATCTTTATTCATCCATAGATGCAATGTTATATATTATATGGCAATAAGGCAGCAGCTTTGAAAATCCTAATGCAACACAACAGGTAACAAAATGGGTACATACTTAACACCTGTAAAGAAAGATACCATCTTGTAACTCCTTTGCCCCCTTTGAAAGGCTTGCGTAACAGTCAGCATCCTAAAGTTGGGTTGTGACAGCTGTTAGACTTCAAAAAAGTTTGAGAAGTAGAAAGCTAGCGAAGAAAATCAGTGTGTGTTTTAGCAAGTTTGGCTCCTATGACTGAAGTGTTGGAATGGAAGGTTACAGGCTTTTTAGAGAAGACAGGCCTGGCAGGCGGGGAGGAGGAGTTGCCCTTTATGTCAGGGATAGGCTGGAGAGTATGGAACTCTGTCTGGGGACAGGTGAGCAGTCCACAGAGAGTTTGTGGCTCAGGGTTAAAGGGAATATAGCTATGGGAGACATTACTGTGGGGATCTGTTACAGACCGCCCCAACAAGGAGAACCTGTGGATGAAGCACTCTATAGACAGATAGGAAAAGCCTCACGCTCGCAGACCCTTGTTCTCATGGGTGACTTCAACCACCCTGACATCTGTTGGAAGGACGGTATGGCCCGGCACAAGCAATCCAGGAGGTTCCTCGATTGTGTGGAAGACAACTTCCTTCTGCAAGTAACAGAGGAGCCAACAAGGAGAGGTGCCGTGCTTGACCTCGTGCTCACCAACAGGGAAGGGCTGGTTGGAAATGTGATGCTCCAGGGCAGCCTTGGATGCAGTGATCTCGAATTTGAGATCCTCAGGACAGTGAGAAGAGTGTGTAGCAAGCTCACTGCCCTGGACTTCAAAAGAGCAGACTTTGGCCTCTTCAGGAACCTGCTTAGTAAGGTTCCATGGGATACAGCCCTAGAGGACAGGGGGGCCCAAGACTCTTGGTTGATATTCAAGGATCACCTACTACACTCAGGAGTGTTGTATCCCAACCAGAAGGAAGTGCAGCAGGAGGGCTAGGAGACCTCCTTGGATGGATAAGGAGCTGCTGAGGAAAATTCAAATGAAAAAAGAGGCTTATAAAAAGTGGAAGCAAGGACAGGTGGCATGGGAAGAGTACAGGGATGTTGTCTGGGAAGCTAAGGACCAGGTTAGGAAAGATAAGGCCCAGTTAGAATTAAACTTGGCTAGGGATATTAAGGATAACAGGAAGGGATTCTACAGGTACATAGCAAATATAAAACAGACTAGGGACAACGTAGCCCCCTCAGGAAGCTCTCAGGAGAGCTAGCTACAGAGGATTTGGAGAAGGCTGAGGTTCTGAATGACTTCCTTGCCTCGGTCTTCACTGCCAAAGGCTCTGACCACACCACCCAAGTCTTGGAAGGCAGATGCAGGGACTGTGAGAATGAAGACCTCGGGCCCACAGTAGGAGACCCTCTTAAGAACCTGAACATGCACAAGTCCATGGGTCCTGATGAGATCCATCCGCGGGTCCTGAAGGAGCTGGCAAATGAAGTTGCGAAGCCGCTGGCCATCATATTTGAGAAATCATGGCAGTCAGGTGAAGTTCCCAATGACTGGAAAAAGGGAAATATAACCCCCATTTTCAAGAAGGGGAAAATGGATGACCTGGGGAATTACAGCCCAGTCAGTCTCACCTCTGTGCCTGGCAAAATCTTGGAGCAGATTCTCCTGGATGGCATGCTAAGGCACATGAAAATCAACAAGGTGCTTGGTGACAGCCAGCATGGCTTCACTAAGGGGAAATCCTGCCTGACCAATTCGGTGGCCTTCTATGATGGGGCTACAGAACTGATGGACAGGGGTAGAGCAGATGATGTCATCTACCTGGACTTGTGCAAAGCGTTCGACACTGTCCCGAATGACATCCCTGTCTCTAAATTGGAGAGACATCAATTTGACAGACGGACCACTCGGTGGATAAAGAACTGGCTGGATGGCTGCACACAAAGAGTTGTGGTCAATGGCTCAATGTCCAGCTGGAGACCAGTAATGAGTGGTGTCCCTCAGGGATCGGTGTTGGGACCGTTCTTGTTCAGCATCTTCATCACTGACATGGACAGTGGGATTGAGTGCACCCTCAGCAAGTTTGCCAACGACACCAAGCTGTGTGGTTCGGTTGATACCCTGGAGGGAAGGAATGCCATCCAGAGGGACCTTGACACGCTTGTGAGGTGGGCTGATGCCAACCTCATGAAGTTTAACCATGCCAAGTGCAAGGTCCTACACCTGGGTCGGAGCAATCCCAGGCACAGCTACAGGTTGGGCAGAGAAGAGATTCAGAGCAGCCCTGCGGAGAAGGACTTGGGGGTGCTGGCCGATGAGAAAATGAACATGAGCTGGCAGTGTGCGCTTGCAGCCCAGAAAGCCAACTGTATCCTGGGCTGCATCAAAAGGAGCGTGACCAGCAGGTCGAAGGAGGTGATCCTGCCCCTCTACTCTGCTCTTGTGAGACCTCACCTGGAGTATTGTGTGCAGTTCTGGTGTCCTCAACATAAAAAGGACATGGAACTGTTGGAACAAGTCCAGAGAAGGGCCACGAAGATGATCAGGGGACTGGAGCACCTCCCGTATGAAGACAGGCTGAGGAAGTTGTGTCTGTTCAGCCTGGAGAAGAGAAGGCTGCGTGGAGACCTCATAGCAGCTTTCCAGTATCTGAAGGGGGCCTATAGGGATGCTGGGGAGGGACTCTTCATTAGGGACTGTACTGACAGGACAAGGGGTAACGGGTTAAAACTTAAACAGGGGAAGTTTAGATTGGATATAAGGAGGAAATTCTTTCCTGTTAGGGTGGTGAGGCACTGGAATGGGTTGCCCAGGGAGGTTGAGAATGCTCCATCCCTGGCAGTGTTCAAGACCAGGCTGGATGAGGCTTTGGGTGACATGGTTTAGTGCGAGGTGTCCCTGCCCATGGCAGGGGGGTTGGAACTTGATGATCTTAAGGTCCTTTCCAACCCTAACTATTCTATGATTCTGAGTTGGATATCGTCTGTCATTAAATCTTACTTGATACAGGTTAGATTCCTGGCAAACTACAAGAGCTTTAGAAACAGAGCAGCAACTGAGAAGAGAATTTCTGTCCAGTACACTAAGAGACACCTAAGTGAAGGGGTTAGATAAGCATGTTAATGAACTTAGTTCAGATCAAAACAAACACCATGGAAGAAATGGCAGCAGTCATTTGCATCTCAACACAGGATTAAGGCATATTCTGAAATCTTAAGTGAACATCCACGAAGAAAAGCCTCTGCTTTCCAGATCTAGAGCAACTGTACAAACACGTACCAAATGGACATTGCAGCTCTGATGGTGTACTCGCCTATTTCTCTTTGTGGGCACATGGAGTATAGCCACATGAGTCCTAGATCCCACTGTGGGCAAGTGGCTGGTGGCAGGGAAGGAGCAGGGATGTCACTACTGGTAACCCTTTACCACAGGATGTAACATTACCACATAACTGTAACATTAAGCTGCTGCTGTAATTCAGCCTCAGAGGATACTAGGTAGGTAGCCATTCTGGGATCTCTTCTCAAAGAACACAAGTAAGGGAGGTGAAAATTCTGTATCTCAGGCTTCCTTGCACACTAGCAAATATGTGGCACTGATCTCCATGGATTGCCCTCATGAGCTAATTTCCCTCTCTTCCGAGGGAAAATTGAGACTGATTGACTTTTCTTATAAGCTGCCATTTGGATCATGAGCAAGAAGAATGAACAACTGTCCCCAGCACAACTGCTACTGTCCTAAGAGTGTTCATCAGAGAGTGGATGAAGGTGAAAAGTTTTCTTGGACAGTTTACTGGCCACTACAAGTAAAAAGGGGAGAGTATTCAAAAAATGCTTTTATTTTTATCACCATCAACAGGAATATGGGTTTATCTTATTATAAATTTATCATTAATGCACAAAAAAGTGTACTTAGTCCTGTACAGCCTTACACATAGCAGCAGGCAAACAGGGGAAGAGAGAATGCTGAAG